CACGGGTCGCGGGCCGGCCGGCGAGCCAGCTAGCCGAGCCGCGGCGGGGCGGCGGTCATCAGAGACTCGGGTACGGAAAATTGCGGTGCAGCGGCGCAGCGTTCGGTTATGGAGCGACTTTCTTTCTGCGACCAGTTTAAGTGCAGCGCGGGGAGACGCAGTTTAAGCGTTGCTTAAAAGCGAAAAAAGCGCCGCGGGGAGTCCCGAGTACTTAACGACGACGCCGAGCCCTGCGGCGCGGACTAGGCCTCGGACTAGGCGGGGATTGGGGCACTGGGGCTTGGCGGCCGGGCCAGGGCGGCATGTGAATGTGGCGGGGCGCAGGCAGCCAGGCGGCCAGCCAGCCGGCCAGCCAGGCCGGCAGACAATGGCGGGGACTAATTGCCGGTATCGACGACAACAAAGCGGCCGAGCGGCCGAGCGGCCGTGTCGCAAAAGTTACATCAGGATAAAATACAGGGCGGTGCAACAGCCACAGTGCGGCGACGCGGGCCTTTTTTCCGCCGGCGCCGTCGTCCTTTTTTTCGCGTTCTAGAGCGTGTGCAGCGGGAGGTGCTAACGGCGGCGGGGCGTGGCCGACGCCGTGGCCGACGCCGTGGCGTACCGTGGCGCCGCCGTGTAGGGGCGGTTGCGGTCTGCCACCGCGGGCCGTGCCAAATGGCAGGCGGTCGTTTGTCTCTGTCTGTATCATCCCGGGGCCCTGCCGGGGCGTGCGGCCCTGACGGTGGCCACCTCGCCCCGCCTCGCTGCACCGCGTCGTGTAAAAGCGTCGTGATTTCATTACGTGCCGACGGCTAATTTTATTGCATAATTATTGACGCGAGAGAACTGATGCGCTGCACCTCTCCCTCCCTGCCGAAGTGCGCCTTTCGGCTCTTTCGTCGCGCCTCGCGGCCATGATGGGGGAATCTCGCCGCGTGTATTGCGCGAGGTTCGATCGGGCCTACTTTACTGGTCTGGAAGCCGTACCGCGCGAAAAAGAAGGAAAGCAAGCGGATTATCGGGCGAGCTTCTCTCTGGCCGGCCGGCCGGCGAGGCAGCGCCGTGTCGTGTGCGGTGGCGGGGCGTAGCGCGGTGAGTGGTTGACATTTGCACCTGTTAGGTGGGCTGGCGGTGGTGGCACGCTTGCTGGGAACTTGTTGGCAGAATCGGAAAGGGGCGGGGGAGGGAGTTCGGCCGGCAGCGGCCGGCAGGGACGTGTTACACACTGCCACACTGCACCGACGACAGGTGTTCCCGTGTTCGACGGGTCGTTGGGATGAGACCGATGAGACACTCCTCCGGGACGGTGGAGGTGTAACGTTAGCGAAGCGAGGCCGCTGCTTCATTCCGCCCGACCGCCAACGCAGTATGAGAAATGCCAAGAAACTTACTCTCTCCGCGCTCCGCCGCGTTGCGTCCGATTTCCCATACCGGCCGCTCCATCCGGCGGCGTCCTGTGGCAGCCGATTCAGATTCGGCGCGGTGGACCGGGCAGCCTGGGCAGGCAGGCGCCCGACAGACGGCCGAACGGTTTTCGTTTTCGGAGTGGATTCCGAACTTTCCATCCGCTTTCCAAGCGCGGTGCCTTAATTCCGATTTGGTCGGCGCCGCGTCGCCGCGCGGCTGTAAATCCATCGGGAGGATCCTCTCCTCGTTTTGGAAGTGGAGACCGAAGCGACCCACGCCACGCAAGCCTCTGCCGTCTCCGCGGGACGCCGACGCACGCCGACACACGCCGCTCCGGGGCCGAAAGGACGGACTGCCAAGCGAGCCAAAGGACAGCTATGTCTCTCTCGCACCCCCACGGGACGCTCCGTGAGTGCGACAGAGACAGCGCGACGAATCGATCCTTCTGAAGCCGAGTTGTCTCGGGAAAGCGAAGCGCGAAGCGGGCACCACACCACCAGAAAAACGGAAACGAACTGTCCCGTCAAATGCATCACCAATAGACTACCAAAGTCTTTCCCCCACCACGACTCCCTGCTACTACCTCATCAGCCGCAACGCCACCGTTGCTAAGCAACCCTGCATCCAAACAAATTTAGCGCGTGCGAAACATAACCTCTATATCTGATCTTCTCTCGCATTTTGGGGTCCATTGTACCAGTTTCGATCAGAGGAGCGGTGCTGTCGTCTGCTTTTCCTCACGCGGAGGCAGGCAGCCCCAACCTCACATTCACACGACGAGAGGCCATCCCCGCGCCGTGCAGTGCCGCGACCAATCGCGTACCTCCGGTGTACGACGACATGGCCAACACTACAAGCCATTCTCCTCTCTTCGGTACTTTTCGCCCGCCGCTGGCGAGGCGAGGCTGGCGAAGGGAAGCGACACGCCGTTGTTGGGAAACAAAAGCCGCAGCAGCAAAAGCAGCAGCAGCACACGTGTTTCGGCCGTTTCTCAATTTGCTGCGGGACGACGATCGAGGCGCGGGATGCATGCGATGCGGACCGCGCGCCGCTCTGTCTCTCTCGCTCGCAACCCTCCGGGCGGGACGCACCGTGAGTGCGAGAGAGACAGCGATGCGCGGAATCGGCGGGCAGGCGGCTGCGACAGGAGCGTCAAGGGGTTTGTCCCGTTCTTGCCAAACAACAACAACAATCGTGATGACACTTTGGTGCGGTTAGGTTGGCCGGCCGGCCGTCCAGCGACGCGTGCCAGTTGCTCAACTCGCTGTGCTCCGCAGGATGCAGTGATGCCGACGCCTTTCTCGTCCGACGTGACGTAGGCTCGCCTGTCAACGGAGCCACAGGCACCCACAGGCATAACGGGGCCGTAACCAAGTAATGTGTTCCGAGCATCACACACACACACACACTCACAGCACATAAACAGACACGTGCGGTGTGCGCTATGAGCTGGGTGTCCTCCATGTCCGCCTGGCTGCACGTTGAACGCTGAGCCGATCCGAGTGGAGCGGGACAGTGAGTCGACTTGCTGCCTGCTGCGGCGGTTTGAAATGAAATGCATAACCTCACCGCGGTAATCCCGCGGAGCCTTGCCCCTCTCATGGGAAGCGGCGAGGCGTGCGCCGTGTGCAGGGAGGCTAGAGGTGCCCTGCCCCGAGGAAAATTGCACCGTGATGCATCTATCTATCTATCGGATGTCCGAGACGGCCCGTCGCGTCGTGAGGTGGCGCTTGGAGCCTGTTGGAGCTTGCCGAGCGTCATCATCAGCTTATTAGTGACGAGCCTCGCCTCGCTGCTTGGCGCTGCCGAGACCGCCTTTGTGAGCCCCGAGACACGGAGCCATCCTCTGTGGTTGAGGAGGAGAGGAGCTTTACGGGCATTTGTTTTATGTTTTCTGTAGAAAGTCCGGCGCGGCTATACTGCTCTAAAAAGAGTTTAATGTGGGTAAAAAATGGTGAATTGTGTTGCTTTGTATGTTCGTTCCTTCCCCGCGTGGCGTGCCGACGGGTTTCGCGCGAAAGTGATCGGAATGGTAGTTATTTCCTGACCCCCGCCGCCGCCGAGCACGGCACACCACCAGCTGACTGTTGCCGAGTGGGCGATGTGTCGCGTCGCAAGGTTGGCAGCATCGGCAGCGCGTCGGCCGTCGGCCCGGGCTGCCAGGGCTGCCAGTCGATAATAACCCGTGTGGAACGCGATCGCAGATTGGGGTCTGAACAGTGTCATAATGGCACTACCCCACGACGACGTCAGTACGACCTCAGTCTGACGCCTCTCGTACGCCAGTGTGGCGATCGGGGCTAGTCTCTGTGGTCAGAGTCGGCGTCCAACTGGCGTCGTAATGCCGTCGCGCTGCCGTCGTCTTTGGGTCGCAAAAAAGTTCGTTTTTCGGACGCTAGTCAGACACCAGTACGACGTCGCTTTTTCAGCGCGAAAAATGTCGCGCGACCGTCAAAACAACCGGCTGGGAGTGTGTCGAACACAGAACTCCCGCGTCGAATGTCGGTGCCCGAACCCGCTGGGCCAGAGCGACTTCGTTGAGGGCGGGGGGACCGCAGCTCTAGTCTTCTTGACTCGACCCACCATGGCACGGGCCACAGAGTATTGACGCCAGAGTACTATTTCTTTCCGGCCATCGGATGCGGTACGCACGAGTTGAACCGATATCAAATACACATTTAACCTAGTTGTCATGCTCTGTAAATCTGTTGGCCGTAGGCTATCTGTAGTTGCTCGCTGCGAAAGAAACATAGCAAAAGAGATGCTGTACTCGTGGCCCGTGCCATGGTGGGTCGAGTCAAGAAGACTAGAGCTGCGGTCCCCCCGCCCTCAACGAAGTCGCTCTGGCCCAGCGGGTTCGGGCACCGACATTCGACGCGGGAGTTCTGTGTTCGACACACTCCCAGCCGGTTGTTTTGACGGTCGCGCGACATTTTTCGCGCTGAAAAAGCGACGTCGTACTGGTGTCTGACTAGCGTCCGAAAAACGAACTTTTTTGCGACCCAAAGACGACGGCAGCGCGACGGCATTACGACGCCAGTTGGACGCCGACTCTGACCACAGAGACTAGCCCCGATCGCCACACTGGCGTACGAGAGGCGTCAGACTGAGGTCGTACTGACGTCGTCGTGGGGTAGTGCCATTATGACACTGTTCAGACCCCAATCTGCGATCGCGTTCCACACGGGAAGTTGTTTGAATGTGTTGGAGGTGGCTGGAGGGTGCCGAGGGCGAAGCGTGGGGGGGGGGGGGGGATGGTCCTCGAGGGCCTCCAATGAAGCCATTCTGATGCGCGGAGGCCGCGTCACCGGCCCGAGAGCCGGCAGCACCTCGGGGAGGGGGGGGGGGGGGGAATCTGCAGAAACGGGACGACGCACAGCCCGACACCTGCCGCCGAGGCAACAAAATCGAAAGTGGTCGCAGAGGCGGGGCGGGGCGGGGCGGCAGGCGTACCCTGCTCAGCTGGCTCGGCGGGGTGGACCGCCGCGCCACGCGCCGTCCTGCAGGGAGGGACCGGCTGCCTGTCGATATGTCCCCTGTTGGCAGTCTTTCAGCTCGTTGTTGTTATTGTTGCCTGCGTGTCTGACAACCCGTTGTTGTTGTTGTTGCAGATGGTGTCGCGGGGCGCGCGCTGGCCGCGGGCCCTACTGCTGGCGGCGCTGGCGCTGCTGTTGATGGCACAGCTCACAGATTCAGCTACCGGTAAGTACACCGCAAGAAAAACGACAAAAAATACTATTATTAAAGGCAAAGAAAACCGACGCAATAATCCAGTTCGCTCGTTCTTGACACTCGGCGAGTCCACCGGCGTCCTTTACGCGCGCGGCAAAACTTGAATGACAAGAGCACTTGCCTCCATTGCCGGTCGCCCCGCCCTGCCCCGCCCTGCCTTCTTGGCCGTCCGGTTTGTAGGCTGACTGACCGCCGCGCCGCCCCGCCTCACTGACCAGCGGCACCAGCAGGGTGACCGTCGCTTTCACTTGTCCCGCACTCATTTTATACAATATCGCCGTACGTATACATTTTGTTCGGGCCGCGCTCCTCGTCTACCGCACGACCCGGACGTGTGGCGGGGTGGGGCGGGCCGGGGCGGGGCGGTGGATTTCAGAGAAGAGCAGCGAGCACGCTGGGCAAGCGTGACCACGGCGTGACCGCGGCGTGACGCACGGCCTGCAGCCGGTCCCGGGTCAGCCTCAGCAGACTGATTCTGAGAGTCGTTTTCGTCGCTCTGTCTCTCTCGCACTCATGGGGTGATCCGCACGGGTGCGAGAGAGACAGAGCGACGAAACGACTCCCAGTCTGCAGCATCACGCACGCGGCCACGCGGCGCGGACGTGCCGTTGGGTGTAACACGGCGTGCGTCATCGCCGAGGGGAGTGGAGGGGGAGGGGAGGCTGAAAAAACGGTGGCAACAGAAGAATTAATATGAAACTCGCTTTTTTTACGCGCGGCGCCTTCAAAGTGAGCCGTGAAATGCAGCGGCCGCGATAAGGCGGCTGAGGCTTGCGACGGGCCGCCATGCCGCGGTGGCGCGATCAGCATCTCCGCTCCACCGGTGGAGTGGCGGCTTGGGCGGTGGCGGCGGTGGCGTCACGCCCGTTTTCGATGTTTCTTTGTTTTTTTGGCCGCGGTCACGTTTTGAAGGGCGTCGCAGCGGCGCTGGGAGCGCCTGCGGGCCCGAAAGCCAGACGATCACTTGTGGTCCAGGCATTAATCGCAATCGCAATCGCCTGCGGGGTAGGCAAGCCCGTCGCACAGCGGAGCGCTGCATCGTCTGGGTTGCCTGCCTGCCGGGCGCTAGTCAGGACAGCCCGAAATGGCATACGATCATGTGTGGTCTAGCCCTTAATGGTAATGGTAATGCGGGGTAGGCAAGCCCGTCGCACGGCGGAGCGCTGCATCGTCTGGGTTGCCTACCTGCCGGGCGCTGACGCGCTGACGCGCTGACCCGCCGCCTTGGTGTTGCAGGCGTGCGCCGGAGGCTGCGAAGGCCCACCAATCACAAGACGTCCTCGCCGAGCACCAGCGCCGACCAGGAGCCGTCCGCCTCGGTGAACCGCTTCAAGGTGCGCAGCCGCCTCAACGCCGCCGCCGCTGGGGCCGGGGCCGCCGCGGCCACCGGCGCCGTCGTGGCCGCCTCCAGGAAGTCCGCCACCGTGACCAGCGTCGCGGCGCCAGACAGCTCCGGCTACAAGGTGAGGGGGCTTCAAGCGGCTGCAAGCCACCGCGCCGCAAGTTTATTTATTTACTGTTTATTCATTCGCCTTTGTACTCACCCCGTGCTGCCGTGCTGCCCCTCTAGGTGGTGTGCTACTACACCAACTGGTCGCAGTACCGGCCCAAGGTGGGCAAGTTCACGCCCGAGGACATCGGCGCCGACCTCTGCACGCACGTCATCTTCGCCTTCGGCTGGCTCAAGAAGGGCAAGCTGTCCTCGTTCGAGTCCAACGACGAGACCAAGGACGGCAAGGTGGGCCTGTACGAGCGCATCATGACCCTCAAGAAGGCCAACCCCAAGCTCAAGGTGCTCCTGGCCATCGGTGAGTCCTCTCTTCTCTTTCTCCTGGGCCGTGCCGCGCGCAGCCGCGCGACCGCAGAACAGGTCCATTCCGGATTGTGCTTTCGTCGCTCCTTCTCTCTCGCACTCGGGGTTCGTTCCGTAGGGGTGCGAGAGAGACCGCGACGACGCACCGTTCGGAATGACCCTGCTGCGGAAGTAAATAAAGCCATCGGGAGAAGACCCCGCCCCGCCGTGGGGTCGTCGACGGGTCGTCGTCGGGGCTGCGGAGCGGCGTTTCCTCTTTCTTGTCGGGGTTTCGGGTTTCGGGTTTCGGTTACATCAACGTGATCGGCCCGACCCAGCCGCGGCTGCTTCCGCCGGCAGCCCAATCACCGCGAAGCACAGCCTGCTGCAGGTGAGAGGCCTCGCGGCACGCAGTACGCAGTGCATGTGTTTCATTTTCTCATTTCCCCGCAATGCTGTGTCGAGTTGACACTTTCTCCGCCCACTTCATCAGCTGCGTGCCGTGGCGTGCCGTGCCGCGCGTGCACGCGCCACGCCGGGGTTCGACGCGCCGCGCCATCTGCATTTCATTTGGCGCGAGTGAGGCGTGCCCCGATGACGTCACTGGACACGACGCCGTCGAGAAAGCATTCGGCTGCGTGCGTGCCGCCGTGCCGCCTTCTTGTCCTTCTTGTTGTTGCTCCTGACGCGCGATGTCCCTTCGCAGGTGGCTGGTCCTTCGGCACACAGAAGTTCAAGGACATGTCCAAGTCGCGCTACGCCCGCCAGACCTTCATCTACAGCGCCATCCCCTTCCTCCGCGCCAGGGACTTCGACGGCCTGGACATGGACTGGGAGTACCCCAAGGGCACCGACGACAAGAAGAACTTCGTGCTGTTGCTCAAGGGTGAGTTTCATTTCGTCCCCAACATTGCCACTCGCAGTCTAAAGGGCTGAAACATGTCGTGCAGTTTGCGCTCTATCTCCCGCGCCCCCACGAGTACGAGAAAGACAGACGCCTTAAACATTCCCCGTGGCCCGCGGCGCTGGAAGCTGAAACGCGCGCCCGAAAAATAGGTCGTTGATTTCGTCCGGCCGGCTGGTCCGGGCCGAGCTCGCCCCGCGGCCCGCGGTGTCCGTGTCCCCGACGTCTCGCTTACCGTGCCCTCGGCACTCGGCAGCCACGGCAGCCCACGGCCATCGCGGTGGTGGTAGGGCCCGGCCGGCCCGGCGGCCTGGCGGCGTGGAGGCGTGGAGCCCCGCCGGCGGGCTTTGGGCGTGGCCCCATTGTTTTGGAGGCCACGTCGTGTCGCTGGACGCCGCCATGCCGCGCCGCCCCGCCGCCCCGCAGGCCGTGGCCGACGTGGTCGACCACCAGCACCACGTCACCGCACCGCGCCGCGTTGTAATTGTGGCGATAGCCCGGTCTGCGGACTCATTCCGAGTGTCCCGTCTCTCTCGCACTCATGGCGCGTCCCGTATGGGTGCGAGAGAGGCAGGGCGACGAAAACGGCTCTCGGAATCAGCCTGGTGTCGGGCGGTGCGGCTCGCCGCGGCGCGGTGACATTTATTTGCCGGCGAGAAAGTGAGGAACACTCGGAACACTCGCGGCGCGCTATTACAGTGATGCGGCATGCCGCCAAGCGCCAGGCGCCAGCCCGCCAGCCCGCCAGCCCGCCGGGCCGCGTCGCGTGGATGCCGCGCGTTCCCCCGCGGCCGTCCACCCCAAGCCTAGTCTCCATTACTCTTTTGTTTGTTTGCCGTCTCTGTCCCTCCATTTTCTGCGCCGCCTGCTCCCAAACTTCCGCATTGATGCAACCGGCTCTTTCAGCGCGCTGCCTCCGTCTCTGTCGCACACGCGGCCCTCCGCACCGCCCGGCACCGCCCCCTTTCGGCTGATGGCGGTTCGAAGCAGGCGCGGGTGGAGCCGCAGCCCGCGGCGCTCAAATTGCTGCGGCAGAGCCAATCTGAACAGTCGTCGCTCTGTCTCTCTCGCGCCAACGGGGCTCGCCGCACGCGCGCGAGCGAGACAGAGCGACGAAAGCGTTGTTCGGAACCCGCCTGCAGCGCAAGAATTCTAGAACTGCAGGTCTGACTCAACCGAACGGTTGCCCCTCGCGGCTCGCCCTAAGGTTAGCCGGCATGGCTGCGCAGTCGGTGCAGGCAGTTCGTTTTCCGGGAGCCCATCCCGTACAGTGCAGCGTCGGGGGAAGTCCCGCCGCCTGGAGCAAGCCAGCGAGTGCCTTCGACGCTCTGTCCCCCTCGCACCCCTTCAGGACGCCCCACGAGTGCGAGAGAGACAGAGCGCTGTTCGGTGGCGAGCAGGGGGCGGCGTGCTTCGCTTTGCTTCGCTTTGCCTGCCTCTGGTGGCGCCACACTGCATTTGAATCGAAAAGCGATTCTCCGCCGGTCCGCTCGCCTCGGCCGCCTCGGCACGCTTCCGCGAGGCGGGCCGTGCCGGCCAGTGTGACGAGTTGTGACGGGCCGCTGCTGTGACGGCGTGGCGCGCTGTGGCGGTGTGACGGGACAATGGGGGCCGTGGTGCCGTGGGGCAGGACGCGAAGGCCCTGCCCGCCGTGCAGCGCATGGCCTGGCATTGCCCAGCGCGAGAACAGAATCGCAGAGAAGACTGCCGATGGACACGCGCGCCGTGTACCGTTGGTACCGTGTAGCGCCACACACCTCGCTGCGGGCACACCACGCTCTGTCTCTCTCGCGGTCATGGGGCGTCCCGCACAGGTGCGAGAGAGACAGAGCGACGAGGGACTCCCAGCCTGCTGGTAATTGGCTGCCTTCGCGCCTCGATCGCGGATCGCCTCCAAGCGGCGGCAAAACGACGACGGTGGCGGGCTACGGAGAGAGAGATAAGCAGATAATTAACGCAAACTTGAAATTCTACCGAAAGAAACAGAAAATAATATTGAAAACTCTCCATGGGGCGACCGGAGGAAAACAACAGGAAATATGAAACGCCGAAAGAAAAAGAAAGTTTGCCTTTGTTCGAGTGCCGCACCACTCTGCACCGCTCTGCACAGCTCTGCACTCGGCGGCTGCCGCTGGCCGCAAACGACGCCCCGCCGGCCGCAGACTGATTCGAACAACAGCGCTCTCGTCGCTCTGTCTCCCTCGCGCCCTCGCGGTGTCCCGCACGGTGCGAGAGAGACAGCAGGGCCTGGCCAATCCGATTGGGCGGTGCATGGCCGAGTCCCACTTCCTCGGCGTCCTAGTTATCCCCGACGGCCGGCGGGGCCGCCAGCCTCCGGTCTGCCCCCGGGCCGCCCCGGGCCTTCTTGGTGGCGGTGAGGCAAGCGCCGGCCCGCGCCGCCCCGCAGTGCTTTCCTTGCCTCCCACTCATGAGGCGTCCTCAGGGGTGCGAGAGAGACAGCGACAGTAAAGAACTTCTCGTATTCGGACCGCAACAGTCCGTCCCCCGCGGACCGCCCGCGGACTCGCGGTGCGTGGCCAAAGTCCGCCAAAACGGCGGCCAAACGTTCCACGACGGCGACCTTGGGCGGTGGACTCCAACAAGCGGCGGACGCGCCCCGCGACGCGGACGACAACGCGGCCGTGGTGGTGGCGACACGCGTGCGAGGATTGAGGGTGGGGTTGTGACGGTTGCTTGCTGATTACAGAATTGCGTGAAGCTTTCGAGGCGGAGGCCCAGGAAGTGAAGAAGCCCCGACTCCTGCTCACCGCCGCCGTCCCCGTCGGCCCGGACAACGTCAAGGGAGGATACGACGTGCCCGCCGTCGCCAGGTGAGTGGGGGAGGGAGGGGGAGGCCGCGGCGGCGCGGGGTCACCCTGCTCCGCTGGACCGCGGCCGCACCGCGGCGGCGTCTTCGTCTTCCATAAGAAGGGCGACGTAACGCGGCGATGGTGGCGCTGCGTTAATTAACGGAGGAAAGGCGAACTAAAAACAGAAAAAGAAGAGGAGTACATTAGGGAGAGGAAGCCGCTGGGAGTCGAACCCGCAGCCCGCGCTGACCCAGTCTGCCTTCTCTTCCCGCAGCTACCTGGACTTCATCAACCTGATGGCGTACGACTTCCACGGCAAGTGGGAGCGCGAGACCGGCCACAACGCGCCGCTGTACGCGCCGTCCTCGGACTCCGAGTGGCGCAAGCAGCTGAGCGTGGACTACGCCGCCAACCTGTGGGTCAAGCTGGGCGCCCCCAAGGACAAGCTGGTCATCGGCATGCCCACCTACGGACGCTCCTTCACGCTCACCAACACCAAGCAGTGGAAGGTGAGAGCCTCGCCGGCGTCCTGGACTGGGCCCCGGACCGCAGCGTGTCTGACGGCGTGCTCCCTGCCCGCAGGTCAACAACCCGGCGTCCGGCGGCGGCAAGGCCGGCGAGTACACCAAGGAGGCGGGCTTCCTGGCCTACTACGAGGTGTGCGAGATGCTCAAGACGGGCGCCAGCTACGTGTGGGACGACGAGATGAAGGTGCCGTACGCCGTGCAGGGTGACCAGTGGGTCGGCTTCGACGACGAGCGCTCCATCCGCAACAAAATGACCTGGATCAAGGACAACGGGTGAGTGGTCGCGAGAAGGATTCGCGCGCGTTTCGGATGGCGTCGAGACTGACCGTCGTTCCCGCCCCGCAGCTTTGCCGGCGCCATGGTGTGGACCGTGGACATGGACGACTTCACCGGCACCGTGTGCGGCGGCGGCGTCAAGTACCCCCTGATCGGCGCCATCCGCGAGGAGCTGCGCGGCGTGTCCAGAGGCCCCAACGCCAAGGACGTGGACTGGAGCAAGGTCGCCAACACCATCGTCGAGGAGAAGCCCCCCGCGGCCGTGGCCATCCCCGTGTCCGAGGTCATCGCCAAGGTGCGCAAGCCCACCAAGCAGCAGACGGCCACCGCCACCCAGACCGAAGTCGTCGACCCCAACGGTGAGTGAGAAGCGTCCGCGAGGAAAGCTTGCCGCCACGCCGCCACGGCGCTTGTCTGTGTTTGTGTGTGTATGTGTTTGTGTGTGTGACGTGACGCGTTTGAACCCCGCCGTTTCAGTGCGCGCGCCCCAGGTGTTCTGCTACATGACCAGCTGGTCCCAGAAGCGCCCCGGCGCCGGCAAGTTCACGCCGGAGAACATCGACGCCACGCTCTGCACGCACGTCATCTACGCCTTCGCGACGCTCAAGGAGCACAAGCTGGCCCTGGCCGAGGAGAAGGACGGCGACATGTACGAGCGCGTGGTCGCCCTCCGCGAGAAGAACCCCAACCTGCAGGTAGGACGCGGTGCACGCCGGCTTCGACGGCAACAGGTTTTCTGACTCCGGCACCCCCGACTCACTGAGCGCCTTCTTCTCCCCTGCAGATCCTGCTGGCCATCGGAGGCTGGGCGTTCGGCTCCACCCCCTTCAAGGAACTCACCAACAACGTGTTCCGCATGAACCAGTTCGTCTACGAGGCCATCGAGTTCTTGCGCGAGTACAAGTTCAACGGTCTGGACGTCGACTGGGAGTACCCCAGGTGAGCGTCGAGTGCCGTCCACGGCACTGCAGGTCTGATTCGGTGGGTTTGACGTTCGGAGCCTTGACTGGTTGCGCGCCGTGCGCACGCTGTGCAGGGGCGCTGACGACCGCGCCGCCTACGTGAACCTGCTCCGCGAGTTGCGCCTGGCGTTCGAGGGCGAGGCCAAGAGCGCCAACCTGCCCCGCCTGCTCCTCACCGCCGCCGTCCCCGCCTCCTTCGAGGCCATCGCCGCCGGGTAAGGACGAGGAGTCGAGTTTATCTCGATTACCGGGTCCCTTTCCGACTGACCACCCTCTGTCTGCAGCTACGACGTGCCCGAGATCTCCAAGTACCTGGACTTCATCAACGTGATGACCTACGACTTCCACGGCCAGTGGGAGCGCCAGGTCGGCCACAACAGCCCCCTGTTCCCGCTGGAGAGCGCCACCAGCTACCAGAAGAAGCTCACCGTCGTAAGTGTGCCCCGCCGGCCTCTCTGTCCGCGCCCCCGTCGCTCGCGTGCCCGTTAGCCTGACGAGTTAGTTCCGAACTTGTGCTTGCCCCTGCAGGACTTCAGCGCGCGCGAGTGGGTGAAGCAGGGCGCCCCCAAGGAGAAGCTCATGATCGGCATGCCCACGTACGGACGCTCCTTCACGCTCGTGGACCCCACCAAGTTCGACATCGGCGCGCCCGCGTCCGGCGGCGGCACCCCCGGCAAGTACACTGGCGAGGCCGGCTTCATGTCCTACTACGAGGTGTGCGACTTCCTGCACGGCGACAACACCACGCTGGTGTGGGACAACGAGCAGCAGGTGCCGTTCGCCTACCGCGACGACCAGTGGGTTGGCTTCGACGACGAGCGCAGCTTGAAGACTAAGGTAAAGAGCTTCAAAACACAATCAAAGTAATGGCCATAGTTGAACCCGCGACTCAAACCCCACCCCTCTCGCAGATGACGTGGCTCAAGGACGAGGGCTTCGGCGGCATCATGATCTGGTCCGTCGACATGGACGACTTCCGGGGCTCTTGCGGCACCGGCAAGTACCCGCTCATGACGGCCATGCGCCAGGAGCTGGACGGCTACAAGGTCAAGCTGGAGTACGAGGGCCCCTTCGAGGGCACGGGCACCGGGCCCGGCGCCTACACCACCAAGGACCGTAAGTACACGCCAAGCCTCGCCGAGCCCCCTGGCATGACGGCCAGCCGCGCGGCACGCGTGTCGGGGGGTTGCCGACGCCCGGACGGCAGGCGCCATGCTCACGCTCTCTCCCTCTTTCTCGTGTCCGCAGCCAACGTGGTGACCTGCGAGGAGGAGGACGGGCACATCTCGTACCACCCCGACAAGGCGGACTGCACGCGCTACTACATGTGCGAGGGCGAGCGCAAGCACCACATGCCCTGCCCGGCCAACCTCGTGTTCAACCCCAACGAGAACGTGTGCGACTGGCCCGAGAACGTGGAGGGCTGCATGCACCACACCCAGGCGCCGCCCACCAGAAGGAGATAGGCGGCGCGCCACCTAGCGCCACGCAGCGCCGCGCAGCCCAGCGCAGTCCAGGGAACTCCAACGGGAACGGGTCACTGAGGCGACGGCGGGGCCGCCCCCGCCCCGTCGGGACTTGCACTGAGAGGGATCTGTCAGTGACTCGGCTCGGCCTCCCCCAAGGGGCAGGTGAGAAGCTGGGAAGCTCTCGCCCCGTGGGGAGGAAAGAAAAATTCGGAAGAAAATATGAAAAAAAAGGGAGAACCGTGTGTGCTGTGCACACATAAAAGACGTCCTCTGTGAGAACTGTTTCTTGTGATTTGTTCGGGGGCGCACGCCACTTTAAAAGTATAATGACTGCGTACCTTGTGCCACACCATATGCCGGTGATGGACGTGTCCAGTGTGATGGGAGGAAAGTTGCTTTGGAATTTTGGGTTGTTTTCTAAAAACATAGAAAATACGTTTTGGATCATCTGTGATTAATTTCCATTTACTCACTTAAATTATTTCACGCACTATGATAAGGAGGAAAGATAAATGTTTACACTAAGAATTTCTAAATGTTATGACTGGATATAACACATGTCAAAGGATGAAGGATTCTACTCCACTGCCTAGTTTGTTTCCATTCAAAAGAGGGAGCGTCCTACAATCCTCCTTGCGCACAAATGCAGATATTTATTGAGAATGTGTGAAGTTGATAAACTAAAATTGTTTCTGAAGAAATGTTTTTAGTTTTTCATGTATAATTCAATAAGCCCTGAACAAGTACATGTACAAATAATTGCTGACTGGTAGAAAAGGTACGAAGCCCGCCATGGTTTTTGGTGTATTTAGATTCTATGCATTGTTTCTCGAAGAATGATAGGATGTACAAGTACTAAATCTTTCAACAAATATTTCTGCTGTTATTTCATTCAAGTTACCAATTATTGTGAAGACTTTTCCTAAACTTTATGGAACTGGGTGAGATGATTTAAAATTTATTAGATGAATAATCTAATTCATCGATACAATATGTTTGGTTGAGTCAGAGAATGTCCAGTTTCATTGTGTTTTCACAAGATCAAGTAACAAATGTATTGTGATCTGTTCAGAAAATTGTATGAGGAACGATGACGTGAGGAATGCCACTTATTAGAATGATATTTTAATCTATGGTCATGTCTTTACACATATTTATTTGAGGTGAAATCTAATCTTCCAAAATGTATTATACATTAATTTGCTAACAGACTATGTATCGGCAAGGATGTTTCTTGGCCTTGCAAGTAGTCTGGAGTTTGGCTCTTGGGAAAAGAAAAAGCTCTGTGATTCACAGCAGAATTTTTATATTTGTATTAATTTGTTTGCAATCGTCTCATTGGCTTATGACAGATAAAAGTATTGATCTGATATTTTGTTGCTATAATAGGATATTTTTTTACTGATTTTTTTTAAGGAATAGGAGATGATGCTTGAGTTTGCTAAGCTATTACATGCCTTATGTAGACACTGAGCAAAACATTGAGGAAAATTGAAAAACATTAGCTGGATTAGTTGTAAAATTTCTTAAGTGTAAGAAACTGTATATAATGTGTATTTTACACAATAAGAATAAACAAAGAAAAACAAAATGCGTTTCATTTGAGTACAATCTCGTGGGCATTCCCTCACTTTATATCCCAGCCACTGTAATGCGGGATGTCCCCATGCGTGCGCGTTTGGGTGCCGTTTGGATTCGATCGCAAACCGAGGCTCGTTCGAGCTGCGGGCGGACGATATGTCCACATTCCTGTTCCTTCCAAGTGCGATGCTTCGAAAACTACTGATGCTGTGCAAGCGGCGGCACCGCTACCGCTTCACGGTGACGATTGGAGGTGTCGGTTGGGTGGCCTACCTAGCCGGCGTTCATCACAGTGTCCAGAAATTTTTCATAAAAATTTCTCATACCCGCCGCCAGCGCTGTCGTTCATGTAAACATTTTCCCATGTAGAGGTTATAAAAGTGTCCACAGTGTCACCTAGTTCCTTATTTTATTGATTTAAATTAAGAAACTGAAAATGGCTTCCAAGAAAAAGGTTTCACAAGAAGAGCTTCGTCGCTTAATGAACAAGCACAAAGACAAGTTTAGCGAAAAAGTGAAGAAGATCGACTCTCCATTAGCAAAATATCCTTTACATTCAATGGTTTTAATTTTACGAAATGTTTTTTCGTATCGTGACCACACTATCTATGATTCTTACCCGCTCATTTTTCAAATAGGACTAGATTCAATACATTTCATCTCAGTATGTCAAGCGAATACTGGTCCTCCTATCAATGATTTCCTAACCATCCATAAAACTTTGTGTTTTTCATTCAGGGTGCATTTGACATTCTACTGCTGCAGAAAATGCACCCTTCCTTGCCTCATTGGTTTAGTTTTGTCCTTAACTCCATTTTACGTACACTAGCGATGGCGCATTAATGTGTGTTCTGTGTAACACCGTTGTACGAAGCGAGTCAGTATGGAACGTTCATTTAAATTCAAAGGCTCATAAGGACAACATTCATCTAGTTAAACAGAGGAAAGCTGCCGCCGAATTCAAGGCACCATCAAATGTAGCAGCACCAGCACCTTTAAAACGACCTAGTGAATCTTTTAACAAGGATCCAATTCCAGCAAAGAAAATCAAGGGTATGTGATTTTTACTTTATCTTTCATTGTCTTTGATCTTTTTCCCTGTTTTGAACTCACCTTTTTTACACTGTCTTAATTTCTAGGAATTTTGAAAAATGCTCCCCCAAAGCCTGTGTCATCAAATTTACCGGGTGACTTTTTTGACTTAAATGGAGGAACATCCCATACTCAAAATGCCGTCAGCAACAATATATCTGTAGTACCCGTTCAGGAAAATAATGTTACTGAAACTGTCGATATGGAAGTAAATGATGATCAAGAAGTTTCCCCTCAAGCTCAGAACAGATCAGAAACCCTACCTGAGGGTTTCTTCGATGACCCTATAATGGATGCTAAGGTAAATGCTTTTTTAAAAATTTTCTATCAGAACTAAGTGGTTTTTAATGTTATTTTAAACATTGTTTCCTGTAATTGGGAGTTTTTTCTTTTTTAATTATGTGGCCTGAATTTCTTTTCTAGGCTAGACATGTTGAGTACAAAGACCCCATTGAGGAAGAATGGGAGAAATTCCAGAAAGAAATTAAAGAAGAAGTAACTGTTTCCTCTCAAATAATTGAAGAGGATCATGAAGAAGCGACAGCTGAAAGGCAAATTGAGGAAATTGATGAACAGCTACGCAATTGGAATAGGTAAGTGTGTTTTGTCCTATTTCATTGCTGCACCCGACATCATTGAATTAAATCATCATACTTGCTGCTTCTTCCTTCAGGGTACTTGAATTAGAACGTAAAAAAGAAGCAGTTAAGGCTGCTGAGCGTATTAGTATGGAAGTAGATGCAGATATCAGCAGTGGTGAGGAAGACTTTGATGAGTTCCTTGACTGGAGAGCCAAGAAGTCTTACAGATAGTTCAAAGTATTTAAAGTCCCTCATTTTCGGAAAATCAACTATATCCACAATTTTTATCAATAAATTTTTTGGAATTTACCAAGTTGTTCTTTATTGAAGTGTTTTTCAACAGTTTTAGGATACATTTATTAAATGAAAGGTATCACCATCACACAAATTTTTCTAGTCTATGTTTTATTTATTATTATTGCTTCACCTGACAAACAGACAGCACTTTTTTCACATTTAATAAGCAGCATGATCTTCATATGGAAGGAATGTTTAGGTGAAAGCACTTCTAGAGAAGTGCTGTTACAATAATGTATTTACATGGCGAACACAATAATGCAGTTTACATGAAGTTATGTTATGGAAAAACAAGTACGTACACACAAATTCAAAATAATTGAGTACCATAAGGCCCTTACTGAAATTCACCATTCTGAGAACTATACACACAATACCGACCTGTTTTCAGAACACAATGAACTTTCCCTTAGGTCTGATCCAGAAAAGATAATTTCTATCCAATTGAACACAGTATGTATGGCAATTCAATGTAATAATTTTAAAATAGCCGTAATGTTATGAAGTTGTAAAAGGCATTGATAAAATTAATTCTTCAACAATGTTGAAAAATCACCAACAACAATAAAGCTGTACAAATTTAACATATCATATTATAATAACTCCCTGGAGTAAAAACAACTAAACGAAGGAAGCAGCACATGTATTTACATAATTCAGGTTTTTTCTTCTTCTTTTCACAACTACCAGTTTTGATATTGTATAGCAATACTGACTTTTACTAAAGATAATCGAAAACATGAACAGCTTCCGGCCATATATTGGCAACGTAAGTGTGGATGGCAAAAGAAAGAGAAGAAAACAAAAAATAGTGCCAAGCACTGTTTAGTCAAGGAATTTACGGTTGGGATTGCGTCCGAAGAGAGCCACACGGACTTCTGGTACAAGCTGCTGTGCAATCAAGTCAAGACGAGCTTCAAGTGTGTTACTGATCTTTATGCGGCCTCGGTTGGAAATCAATTCAACACCACCAACAGAATCAACAGGCAAAAAAGTGTCAGAATCCAACTTTAGAGCAAGATCCTTGCCAGTGTTGTTCTTGTATTCCGCGATGCAGTTGTCCAGAACGGCCTTCACCAGACCCTGATCAACTTCACGAGTACGAATAGTTACAGTAGGCTCCAAAAGCTGAAATTGAATGTTAAGTTTGTGTTCAGTACACTGTCGGTTTACAAAAGACAAACCTCAAGCACTTTATTATAAAACCCTTACTGACCTGGTAAACACCCTGAATAATCAATTGTTGAAGAACATTGCTGTACTTTTGTTGATTGCGAGTGACCTCTCCCAAGCGTTTCCTAGCTTCATCCAACACACCACGAATGTGATCTTCACGTACTTTCAGGGCCTTCAAACGAGCTTGGTTCAACATGTTAGAGGATTGGCTAGATTGAACAGAAAAAAGGTTTATCAAACCACCATAAGAAGACAGAACAGGAGAAAATTCTATGGCATCAGCATCATACACTTTCTCAGACTACTTACATCTTCTTCTGCAGCTCAACTTGCTTCTCTTTCTTTTCAAAATACTCCATGATCTTAAGACGCTGCTGCTGAACCAGACGTCCCTTCTCAATGTTGAACTCCTCCTCTGCTTTAGCATCAATTTCCTCTGCTTTTTCATTGGCTTCTTGTTCAATGAAAGCCATCATGTGCTTGATCTGATGGAGAAAGCACACAAACCGATTGGCATTATCAGATTGTTTTAATATTAAAAGTTAGATAGAGAAACGTAGAAAAGTTGAAATGGCCCGATAACAGTGCCACCAGAAATCCAAACTTATTTGGGGACAAAGAGTTTGAAAAGTACAATCGTACTGACATTCATCAAGTTAAAAGATTTTAGGGAGTGCAATGTTCCATCAAAAAACATAAATCTGGTGCTTCATAGGTGGCAAAAGCAACATTTTGTGTTAAATTATTCTACAAAATAGTGTGATATGAACAAGATTTAGAGACAATGATTCACATTAAATGTCCATTGATTTGATAGCATCGAGATGACACGATAGAGAGAGGCACAGAGGAGCTCTGTCATGTGACTGGCACACAGAGGGAATGATCACCAAGGCAGGGTTATAATGTGTTCTTTTCAAGTGTATAATTTTGTGTGTGTTGAGCAAAATCTTAAGATGCAAATGGCAAAGCCCCTTCACATCACTTTCAAATATGGCAGAAAATTTTATAGCCTCCATCGAATGTTACAGTTAGAAAAAGTTAAATATGGCATAGACAGAATTAAGATAATGACATGGGCATAATGAAATTCCCCAAACAACAAATTTAAAAGAGAAAACCATGAGTTAAACAGTATATTGTTTATAATGAAAACTTTGGGTGTGAATTGATACCAAACAAACACGAGTTTATGATTTAATTCGAAGGTCAACTGTTCTAAGGAAGGAAATAGAGTGAAGCCGTAGTTTGGCTTTCGCCGATTCTCGGAGAGGAGTACATTAAATGTCAGTTTGTGGAAAAGCAAGATTTTTAATCACGTGAAGTGCCAAACTCGATGTGCCACAACCTCCACCACATACTTTACCTGTTTTTGGACGTCTGCGTCGGAGAGCGCCATTTTGAGGTAGTTTGTAAGCTTCTTTGGGGCAGAAAGGTTCCAAAAATGACACTGAGAAGCAGACTTCTCGACTTAAAAGCAGAAAAATCCTAAAGGAGTGACGGCCAGTCGATTTCTGTGGACGGCTGGCCCACAAAGATCATATGACTGTCTGCTGACGTCGTTAGTCAAATGTCACCTGCTATTTTTCTGTCAGTGGCGATATTATGGACGGGCATCTAAAAACTCTCTTCTTGACTTAAATTCGATGAAAAATACTCATTAAGATTTATAGTGCGCCGCACAAGCCAGCAAAATGGAAAAACTTATTTCTGTCAGTTGACTTTAGTTGTGCTTTAGGGTAGTTCGGCAAGGCATCTTCACTCCAGGCTCCAGCACTGAGTTTTCGGAATGACGTTGAGTTATTTAGTGATTGAAATACATGGCACTAGTCTAAGCTTGTGTTAGTGTTGGATGTGCACGGACTTTCGTCAGTTAAATTTGTTCATTCCCTATGAATATCAAGGGAATCAAAGCTCCTATTGGAAAGTGTCCGTGCAAAAATAATGGCTTCGTATCGCAAGCGCAAAGAAGAAAACAACTTTGAGCGTACCTTGACTTGGAAGGTCGAGCCTTGAAAATCAACCGAACATTTTTCTCCCATTGTGAACGATTCGTTGTTTCGCCCTTGTTTTTTATGAGCTACTTCTATCCTGGACTTAGCTGTGAGTATAATTTACTGCAATCGTCAAAGCCAACTTGGTCGGTGTGCCGCTTCCAGCCAAGCTTCTGTCTGGTTAGAATTGGCCTTTGTCGTCAAGTTATGGAGTAGTTGTTGTCACCCATGCCCTGAATGTGCCTCCCTTCATCTGCCCCTTTGGCCCTCAGTAATTTCCACCGACCAGAACGCAATGCCCTCGCCTTACGTGGATCTATTGTTTACTTGAGAGGTGCCCATAACCCTAGATCAGTGTTCACAAGTTGTCAAACATAACCAAAGGCTTAGTACCCCACTATTTGTTTGAGCTTACAACTCGTCATTTTCATCCCCATTCGCATTTAACATGTGAAGATGGTTTGGTTCGCCCCAAACCCCGAATCCCTTGCTTTGCACAATGAATGGATTAGTGCTTGGTATGCTAACATAGACTGTCCACTTCTTTCTTGAACCCCTACCTATACCTCATAATCTTTGGTCTTCTAACATATTTTGATGTTTATAGAGTTTGACTAAGTAACTTAGTAAACTGCAACATGATTTAATTATTCTTAAATGCAACACATCATGCTCTATTTTTTTCTTTTCCTAGTCTTCCAAGCTATTTCTCTTCAATGTTGTTTCTGGGAGCTTGGCGAGGTTTACCATATTTGATTCACTTGTATGTCAGCCTTCAAATATGAAATTTTGTGCATATGCTAATTTATCTTTTTGAATATTAACAGTATTGCATTTTTCCTGGATTTCTCAGGGGGTAGCTGTCCCTTTTTTCTTTTCTTTTTTCACACTTCTTGAAGTATAACATCCCACATCCTTCCTGAAAGGACTGTTGGTGCCATTCATTGTTGATACAGAGACTATTTGTGTCCAAGCAACCAGCTGTCAACCCTCCCACAGTCACATTATAAGAATTTTTTTTTCATATTTTCACCCTTTACCCTATTAGGGCTATGACTTTTAGAACTAATGTCTTCTTAATAGAGAGAACTATTTTTCATTCTCTTATGTCTTGTCTCCAAAATAATTGGAAGCCAAATAATGGCTATTGAATGCTATGGGATGAAGTGGTTTCATTGAGGTGGCAGCCCTTAAATCCCCCTCCTGACATTTTTCTGAGAACTTATGTTTCAAATTATGTCATCTTTTTCTTTGTTTTTTAGAATTTGACTGCTCCCTGTTACATACTGAAGTTCCCTAGACAGAAGTATATTTCAAGTGGAAGTGGCCAGTAGTCTATGACTTGCATTCGGAGGTGGGTTTTTTAAGTTTTCATGTTTTTACAAGAAATCAGTTTTTCTAGTATTAAGTTCCATAATAAGGTGTAATTCATCACATAAGATTCATGCTTAGGTTTTTGTTTGTATTTCCTCTCAAGAATTCATTTTGAAGTGCCTCTTTTATTCCTTCAGGTTAGCAGGACATGTCCAACAGTTTTCAGCAGCTGCAGCCAGCATCGCAGCCTCCACGTAGCACCAACCCTGGCTTGTCTCGTGGAGGATTTGGCATGAACTCTCTCTCCGGCCATGTTACGCCCACATCGGGTATGTTTCCCTCCTCCTTCACCCCTCAACAACTGTCACCCAATCGGTCCCTCAATATGGGGAGCCGAATGTTTGGGCAGCGGAATTTCGCGGATCGACGGACTATGCCGGGTCTGAGGTAATCTCAAAGCACTCTGGAAGATAGCTTTTTCTGGCCCAAAACGGTTGTAACATTTATTATATTTTTTTGTCCTGTTTATTTTTTTTCAGTAATTCAAATTCCATGGGAAGTATGGGTAGTTTTGGTATTCCTCCAAACCGAACATACAGCTCACAAGGGACAATTAACAGCTTCCATTCAGTATTTGGTGGTAGTGGAGGTGGTGGAGACACAAGCACTCCACCTTTACTAGACTTATCAGAGTTCCCATCATTGAATAGAGGGCAAGGAGATACGATGCCTCAACCTAATCCATCTATGCCTGGCAAGCAACCTTATGGTGAGTGCATTCCAACATTTTGCTCAAGGAAATATCTTCATTCCCTTTACTATCTCTTCTATTTATGAACAAATTTCTTTAACCTCTTCTGTGTTTGTTTATGTTTTATTTAATTTTAAACTTACTTACTGAGCTTATGTTTATTATTTTTATTTGTTCCTCACAGCATCCCTCACACACCTGCATCAACGAAATTTAGAAAAAGTCCAAGGTTAGTCAATAGAGCTCCCTTAAGAAGTAAAATATTTTTTTCTGAGACCTAAACCTAAACAAATAGGATTCATTCATGCTTATTAGATCAGATGAGTTACAGTATTTACAAAACTTCACTTCAACATGTTGCAACCCTCTTAAGCAGTTTAAAAGAATTCCCTCGTTGCGACTAAACTGTTCGTAGTAGTGGCTCCTATTTACACAATTCACCTTGTGGTTGTTAAGTAGCTTTATCAAAAGTGTTGTTAAATAACTGCAAATCTCATTCAAATCCAAACATTAATTTTATTTCTACATCAGTTTTGTTCCTTTTATACTTCAACTGGTTGAATCTCTTCTTTTCAGTTTTGCTTGATAAAGAAGTACTATTTGGTTCTTTGTTAGTTTGTTGGTAACTGTCTTTATACCTATCCGTTCTTTGGATTCAAAAACCTTTGCATTTCAGGTCTTGATGAAATACCTGTGTATGGACTTCTGCCATCTTATGTTACTGAAACACACAGTAATTTTTTTGTGTCCTTTTTTATTTTATAATTGCAGTTGGAATGGTGAAGCAACCAACTAATGAATCAAGTGAATTTACAATGAGTTCAGAAGATTTTCCAGCCTTACCTGGCACCCAAAACCAAGAAGGCCCTTCACCAGGTGGAAGTTTGTCGGGGGAGAAAGGGTTACCGGGTGTAATAGGCAGTGAATTAAGTGGCCTTGATTCCTCAATTGGTCGAGGAACAGCTGTGGAGAAAGCAACTAAAAGAGGGATTCAAACATCTCCTGATGGTAAGCTTTATCAATGCTTGTTTGTTGTCCAGTTTATTTATTTTAATTGATATTGATGGCATAATTTGTGTTAAAGGTAAAGTGACGAATGTTCCTGCTAGTATGGTGAAAGACCAGTTTGGTATGGTGGGACTTTTAACATTTATCCGAGCAGCTGAAACAGATCCCAATTTGGTATCATTAGCGTTAGGGCAGGATCTGACTGCATTAGGGCTTAACCTAAATTCTCCTGATAATCTTTATCCCACATTTGGGGGACCATGGGCTGATACTCCATGCAGACCACAGGACATAGACTTTCATGTTCCACCTGAGTACCTTGTCAATGCAAGCATCAGGTATGGTTAAAAGTTCCCTATGTTTTCTTCATTTGTAAGCACTTCAAATCTCTGTATTGATTTTCTGATTGAATCCCTCAGAGAAAAGTTACCTCCCATAAGACTAAGGCGCTACAAGGATGATCTTCTATTCTACTTGTTCTACACAAATCCAGGGGATGTCTTACAAATTGCAGCAGCTGAAGAATTGTGAGCTAAATTCTTTCCTTTATTTATTTTTGCAATTTTCTCAGAAATTATGATTTGGCTTTTAATACTTTCAGATACAATCGGGAGTGGCGGTATCACATGGAAGAAAAAGTATGGATTACTCAAGCTCCTGGCATGCAAGTTCAAGAAAAAACCTCAACTTATGAACGCGGCACATATTACTACTTTGACCCTCAAAACTGGAGAAGGGTTGCAAAGGAATTCCATTTGGATTACAGTAAGCTTGAAGGCCGACCTCATGCGCCACCATCACTTCCTCCTATGCATCAAGCGCCCGGGGTGTCTGGTGGAAGCATCTAGTCGAGACATTCTAATGCCAAGCAACTGTAAGCACATTTTCCTGCTAGGTAGGAAGGAATTTATACAGGGATTTCTTCTTCTTGTTTCATTTAGAACTCCGTGATACATCATCTTGTTCACTTGGCAAGAAATATGTGCGGGCAATCACACTTGATAATAGAATCGGTGCATTTTTCTCTTGTAAATATTACTTTTGACTGTTGAAAGAAACAAATTTTTCTTCTTTTTCCAGACTTGTCACTTCGAATTTTATTTTTATACATAGCATTCAATACTTTTAAAGAAATTATTGTATATGATGCAAGGTGGCTTTGGAATAAAGAGGTGTCATCATTGTTATGTTTTTCTCTGAAGTGAGAATTGTTATTTAACATAATGTGGAACATTGACTGCATGTACTTCAGATTGTAGCACTTTCAATTCCTTTTTCAGGTGTGCCTAAACCTTTCAGGTCTTTGTTTTATTTAACAATTTTTTAAATTGTTACTTTATAAACAGGCACCAATGATAAGTAGGACTATTATTGGCACCTGTTTCATTCATGAAATGGTGTTAATGCTTCTAAGCACAGATTAATGAGCTGGCCCCATTGACAGTTATATTAAGAATACAAACTTGAAACCCCACATACCATACTTCTTGGATTATCTTGTCTCTACCGCTACATGAAGAGTTGCTATCAAACCTTAGAAATCAAGTTCTTTCCCTAATGTTGTACATGCAGTCAGATGACCTGAAGCACATATATCACTTGAACAAATGCTGAAGAATTTCCTTCTTTTGCTAAAGAACCGTAAGAGAACCATCTTTCTGTTTCACTTTTAATTATCCACCTATCTGAACGTTATTCTTTTGTGAGACTTTGAAAAGTATCATGTGATAGTTGCTGATCATTTCCAATCTGCAGATCACCTACACACATTATCAATGGTTTTTGAATGTGATTAGAGCTTTGCATGATTTTATTAATTTATGAAGTGATTGCATGAAACTTATTTGTGCAGATTGCCTGGGCTCTCCACAGTATCCTTAAGGACAAGATTTGGACATTTTTCCTTGTGCAGGAATTGGTTTTCTGTTCGTGCCAAATGGCTGCTTTTGTACCTTATACCATCTGATGTTGAAATGAATTTTTCAATGAATGTTAAATGCTCTTGTTCATTGTACATCTGTTGCCAATCTGACTATGTTCCACGCTTAAGAGGATATCATTTTCGTTTTTGCGTCATTGATGGTGCTAAAATGAAGAGCATACTGACTGGTGTGTGGGACATAAAAATTTGATTTATAGTGATTTTTTTCTCTATCTGTTATTGATCTGGTCCAAACTGTCTCCCAAATTTTTCCCCCTTTTTTAAAAACTTTTTTTTTTGCATCAAATCTGTACACTTGCTTCTAAATGCAAGTTGGGAAAGGGGGGGTCATTTTTGTTACAAACATGTGATATATTTATATAAAGTAACTGTTGATGCATACATTTTGTTATTTTATATTGTGGTTGTAAACGTGTGGTGTTCTGTATTTGAGAGTTCAGTTTTGTACTTACGCTCTGAATTTAGAAGGAAATTTCTCTGAATGAAATATCAGTATGTATCTGTCTACAGAATTATGGAGTATTGTTAACCATAGATCCAAACCTAAATCAACTCAGAGCATTTAATACAAGTGCTGCCTTCGTGTGACAATATGTGTTTATTTTCTGCCAAGATCTTCAAAAGTTATTATCATTCGTCTACGACATGTTGACCATGTCCTGAAATCATGGAGGGTTCTTTATTGCTCAAATTCGTTGAAGCCTTTGAATTACTTGTGGGTTTAAAATGTGTCTTAAAGAATTTCTAGAGGTAATGAACCTTTATTCCTTTGGTGATATTTTTTTGATTATCATCAAGAAAAATTTCACATTCCCTATTAGTATTTTTTAAAATTTTCTAAATTTTGAGAATGTTTGAATTTTTTAGTTAGGCTGCAGTTTTGTCACTAAGGGTATGCCATTTTCAGCACTGTGACCCATAATTTTGATAGCTTAGCAGCCACAAGGTCCAAGGATTATTATGCAGTTCTACTAACAAATTCCATCCACTTTTTTTTTTTTTAAATTAAGAAGGGAGTGGGAAGATCCATTCTTCAAAAGACATGGAAATTCAGAGAATCTTTTTGATTGCATCTCAAAGTTTTTTCTAATTTTTTGCTTGAGAGAACATGCTATGCAATGCTTTCTACTTTTCTCTAATTTATTGTTAAGACAGAAGACCATTGATGTGTGTGGGCTTGTTTCTACACAATGTTACCATAACAAGTCCACTGGTTTCCGATTTCAAGAGTAATGAATAGTTCAATCTTGACCCTTCAAGTTACCAGCATTACAAACAATCTTTTCTTTGATGTTTGGCATGTGCATCCTTCTTATTATCAGTTGAACCCTCTGGAGCATAGGTGCCTACTTCCTGCACTATGAAGCTGCACAATTAAAGGTTCATATTTTGGGAAAAGCTAGATAAGTGTTATTGGAAATATGAAGAAAGAATTGACCCTGTATTTATCTCTCTATTTTGTACAGAAGATAATCTATGAATACTGTACATTTCTCAGTGATATAGATCAGGTATGTGGCAACGCGTTATATTCAGACACGCACTCACCGTAGAATAAAATGTACCTGCCCAACTCTTGTCTCACACTTTCATTTTGATTACAAACTTCAATTCATGATTTTCGCAGGTCTACATGTTTTCGTAGTCTGGCAATAGCTGGAGAAATGCATATACTGTGGAAACTAAATCTACATTTCTTTATCTTCATCTAAATGTCCAGAGGCTTTTGTTTTTCTTTGTCAAATACCCATTGTAGAACTCAAGAGCAGTCATTGGTTTTCGTTTGAATGGTGCTAAACGCTTTATGATCAAGTGAGTGTTTTGAGAACAGGTCACCACCAAATGCCTGCCTCTTTTGTCATACCGCACTTGACCTTCTAAAACTGTTCGGGTACCACTGCTTGCATCGTCAACTGATACATCAAGTAGGTTGATTTTCATTTCCATCCATGTGGCAACCAATGGAACAATGGTATGCAGCGCTCGGAAGTGGTTAAAAATGCATTGGGCTGTCATTGTTTTGAAACTTACAATGCCTGAATCGTCAGTAAGTTTTGGAGCTGAAAACAGAAGTTCAACAGGGTTAAACACTATTTAAGACCACTTTACATTTAAAAAAACCAACACAACTCCTACAGTATGGTAAAAATAATAATAAAATATTATGGTCAGCGACACACACGCTTCCTCCAAAATATGTCTACAATTTCACAAGTAATGGACTGTAATCACCATAAGTAACGCCTTCCTTCGGTTGAGGACGAGCATCCTCAAGACACTGCGGCAATCTTTGTATGCATGATAATAATACATCTCCACCAATATCGCTCATCCGTTTTCGTAAGTTGACGGCAGTCTCATTAGGAGCTATTTCAACTTCTCTTTGCTTCAATACTTCTCCCTTATCAAACCTACACAACATGAACAAAAAAATTTATCCCAAGGTTCGGAAAAACAGTGATAGAAAAGATGATCGAAAGCTTACTCGTGGGGCTGAATGCGCATGATAGAAATACCAGTGACTGAATCGCCATGCATTACAGCATAATTGACTGGAGCAGCACCTCGCCATCTGGGAAGCAAGCTCCCATGAACGTTTAAAATGCCCCTGGAAGAAAAAGAATAACTGTCAATGACAGGATGATTATAATGATATTGTAAAAGTAGGGTTTGATACCTACAGTGGAAAGGCATCAATAACACTTTTGGGAATGAGATGACCAAAGGAAGCTACTAGACCAATATCAAAGTCATTTAAGGCTCTTAAATCTACTGGCCATTCATGAGCCACCAGGTTCTTTTCTTGACAGAATAATCTGACTGGGTTTAAACGGTACTTAGAAGATACCACTTCTAATCTAGAAATAACAGTCCCTGACGAGCTGTAAATGAAAAATGAAGGATTATATTTTAAGACTCCTTCTTTTTAGGGAATTAGTGTTTTTTTAACAGACAAACTTACAATGCCTCATTCAGCTTAGTTAAACTTCCTAAAGAAAAATCATCAGTACCGAAGAACATAACCTTCCATGGTCGTATATGCAAGTGATTAGTAATAATGTTAGTTTCCTTTGAATTTTGATGAATACAGCTAAACAATAATCTTTCGGGGACACTATATTTTATCGACCTCAAAGTCTTTAATGCCATCGCTGTATTGTGTTACCCCGTTCCGACAAACGGGATTTGTTTTCGTAGCTGAGAAGCCGTCTGCTACAGCAGACTAAAAACAGAAGCAGGCGTGCGGCGAGCGTACCAGCAACCGAAACCAAACATTAACCGAAAGCTAGTGCTACTTTTCGTCTTTAAAAATTCATCATAATAGAAAGTTCATGAAAGAAAGTTGCGTGGTGTTTGTCTTACTGGAAGTGAACAAAAGTATTTTCCGAAGATTAATTCATTTGTATCAAAATGTACCCCGGCCTGGGTTGGCAGAACTGTCCGTGGGGCATGCGCGGAACAATTAAATGAAGTCGCCGTGACAGACACCAGTGTTACGTTGAATGTTGAGTTCGTTGCGGTGCTAACTGACGAAAATAATAGACTTGCCTGGACTCAACTCCATTCGGACAGACAGTGTTCGCACATTTTAGCTCTCTAACGGGCGATGTCCGCCCTTTTGAGATCTCAAGGCCCAGAGTCCCGAACTCCGGAGGTTGCGCCACCGTGGTGCCTAGAGTCCTGGAGGGGGCGGGGCGGGGCGGGGCGGGTATCGCGCCGACCCACCTCACCGACCTCACCTACCTGATCAGCCACAGCCACAGCCAGCCAGTCCAGCCGTGCGCGTCGGTGGCGTCGTTAGGCGAGGAGCGAGGCGAACTGCAGTCCAGCCGCCCGAACTGGGACAAGACGAGTCTCTGACGAAATCGACGAACGGGCTGCGTTTGAGAATCTGTAGGACTGGGGAGAAATTGGATTTTGAACCACAACGGCGTGCGAGGGAACCTCGCTTTAAATTTTCAAAATGTGTACCAGGTAAGGCGCTGGCGCTTTTGTCCATTTGCCGTCCTAACCGTCCATATTCACGTGCGTTCTGTACTTCATCGCTAGCCCAGCAATCTTTTTCCGCCCATCTCTGGAAATTCCAACACTTGTCCTGGACGGTCCTGTGTGAGCAGTGCGTTGGCGCCACAACAAACTGGCCAGGGGAATGACCGAGTGGGGGTCGTCGCGTACGTTCGCGGCGACTCGTGGTGCTTCGCTAAACGACTCGTCACGCAGACCCAAAACAAAGCGGCGCCTTGTCGCCCTGCTCCCGCCCCTTCGCGCCACTTCGTCGCTCTGTCTCTGTCGCACTCATGGGACAGTCGTCCCGGAGGAGAGCGAGAGAGACAGAGCGACGAAACGACCCCGCGGCGGGTGGTGTCAAGTGGGACTAAACGCCGAACTGCGCTGAACTGGTGGCCGGTGCCGGGGCCTCGGGAAGCACATCCAGGAGGCCGGTGTCCATGAGGAAGGCCCCGCGTTTTCCAGTCCCGGATACGGAGCGAGGGAGCTGACACGCCCCGTGCGTGCCCCGTGCCGTGCGGCGTGCCAGTGAGCCAGCCGACAGCCCTCGTGCATGCAGGTGATAACTCAGGGCTGCATCTCGACAGCGTGTTGCAGCGCCTCTGTCAGTCTGTCTCCGTCGCACTGCAGAGCCGGGCCCGCCCCGCCCGCAGCCCGCCACCGTTTGCACTGGCGTTGCGGACGCTGCGGACGCGCCCCGTCCTCGGGTCCCTCGGGTCCTTGGCAGTGCCCTGCCCGGCAGTCCCCGGTGGCTGGCGTGCGGAACGTGCGGGTCGGGCTTATAGTTTTCGCTGGGGACAGCTCGCTGGTCGCGACCGCGAGTCGCCCCGCGCCTCGCCCCGCCCATCCCCCCCGGGACTTCCCTCTCCGTTGCTCCTCCGCGCTGCCCCCGGCCCGCCGCGTGGGAGTGACCGTGAAAGATGGGAACCCGCGGCAACCATTTGCGCAGAATTTCAAGCTTTTTCGGTAAGATAATCGACCCGTCCATGCGCCATGTGCGTGCGCTGATACCAGCATCGGACATTGGGCACGAATCGCGAGTGGCGACGTGATAACCCGAAACTCTGGAACAGCCTTATCGGTCGCCTCCAGTCACGCAGTGGCGCTGCCGTGGGATGTCGCACCGATGACCGCCAAGAGGCCGATTCCGAACAGCCCTTTCCTTTCGCGTCGCTCTGTCTCTCTCGCACTCATGGGGCGCCTTGTATGGGTGCGAGAGAGACAGAGCGGCCTGTTCGGAGCCAGCCCGCAGACGACAGCGGGGAGGCGGTCGTGTATCGCGTGCCTAGTTCTCGCGGCCGCGAACTGGGCCCCAGCGTTTTGGCGGGGCGCGCGCGCGCGCGCGGTCTTCCCTTCGCTGGTAACCGGCCTTTCGTCTGGGCCGAGGGAGCTGAATGAGCTGAACCAACTCCGCGGTATCTCATACCTGTTGACACGGTGAGTCACCTTGCGGAGAAAAGAGGGAACCCATGCCAGGCCTCCATGCGGCCGGCCGGGCGGCCCGGCCGTTGGTTGAACAATCACGTGTGACCGCGCCACTGTAAGTACGTCATGCCTTCGCCATCCTGGGGGCCGAAATGAGCATGTGGCGCCGCGCGGACGCCAATCTTTTGAAGCCGTGAGAGAATTATGTATCATCTTTGCCCCGCCGTGCCGCCGAGCCTCGGCCCGCTCTTTCCCTACCGCCCTCCTATCGCTTTTGAAGGCCTGCTGGCTTCCTGGAGGAGGACTGGAACGAACGAACCTCTGGAACCGGGTCCAGTCCAGCTGTTCGCTTCCGCCTGCCCCCTCCCCCTCCTCCCCCTCTCTCTCTCCCCTCCCCTCCTCCTTGCCCTTCCCTCGCCGCCGGCAGTAAATTGGGAAATTCAAGAGGGCCGTGCCCTACGACAACAAAAAAATGGTTTTCGTTTGCCTGGAGACATGATAACAGTTTCGCAAGTTCATCCGTCCTGGTGTGTAAGATTTGTCTCGCACAATATTGCTTTCAAGGCCACTTAGATTAAGGTATGACGAGACACGGTGTATATTTGGAGTGTGATCTTATTCTCTGGAGGAAAATGTTGCAGTGCTGTACCTGTTGACATGACCAGAAATATTAATGGTTTTCGTCTTGATATCATTGTTCAACCTGTAGTTACCCGATAAGACGTGTCGTTTCATAAACACTAGTCATGCGGCGTATTTGCATAGCATTGCATATAGTGCACTTAGTACCCAGTTGAGGTTAGAATCGTGTGGGAAATTACAAGAGAATATCTCATATTTGCCTGTATTTCTAAGGGTTGGGTGGCTTTGAAGGAATTTCTGTCATGACCAACTACATCATACATTCTCTTCCTTCTTTTTCAGATTGCTCACCTTCCAGATTATCAAGAAGCGTAGCAACCATGGAGGAGGACGAGACATTATTCCACGATACTAGCTGCTTAACTCCAATTAATGTTGACAGCGGCCCAAACATTGCCACAAATAGTGTGTATGCTAGTGCTCAAGAGCTGAATGGAGAAGCGTGGCGACTCAATGGACCTCGAACAAACCCCATTTATGACTTTCAGCAGAGAGTCCTCCAGGTCGAAGAAGAATTAAAAAAGAATGGTACAGAGCTATTAAATATGGCACCTTTAGAAGCAGATGAACCAGTAAGCTCCTCCTTCTTTTATCAAACATGCAATTTTTCTAAAAAATTGTTTACTTATCTCCTGATATTTTTGCACTAGGAATGTGTGCATGAGCATTCCTCCTCACTGTATTTCAACGATGGAGAAAGAACAATTGACTTTGTTCTTGTCTGGGATTCTCACAATGAATCTGCTAATGAAGAATCATCTGTCAGGAAGAGAAGAGTAAGCCCCAACATAATTTTTTCAACATTTTTTACTTGCACTTACTTTGTAGTAATTTTTTCTGTGCTTTTGCGTTGTTAGATTTTTGAAGATAATCTGTTGAAAGAAGGACTTTTACTTGAACATGAGGAGGCCCAATCAAATGGACTGGTATTTGTCAAAATCCATGCGCCTTTTAAACTGCTCAGAACGTATGCAGAAATCTTGAAACTTCGGATGCCTATGAAAGATGTAAGTTACTTTTATTTTTATCTTTCAGAAGTGAAGTTTATTTTCTTTTTAACATCATTTCTGAACAGAGGAAATGTTTAGATAGGAGTAGCATGACAGCTCGTGAGCATGATTGGAAGTAGATATGTAGTGTCGTGATTGTGATTAATATCTAGAGTTATTCTCACTTTTTCCATGCCCTGTTGTTCCCTTTGATCGCATGGTTTTATTCTGTCAATTTTCATTACCTTACACCTGAAAACTATGTTTTACATCCTCTCCAATGTTTTTTAAAACTCTGCACCCACATTTTGCAATATTTTTCTTTAAAATGATGACCACAGTTGGTTTTGGTTTTGTTTTTGTTCTATTCTGCCACTTAGTACACACTAAGTACTGGCTTTGCATGCTCGAATTTCGCACTGTATCTGGCACCCTTTTACTTTTTATTGTAAGGAAGGTGCATTGTTACTGGAGATGGTGCAAAGCAATTAGTACAAAAGTCAATTTTATGTGGTTTTAACTCTCTTTATCTTGGTTAATCTTTTTGCCCTATGACAGGAATTGTGCCACCTCCCAAAAGATGCTAAAATGGGTGCCATTTCATACGCCACATGGTACTTAGCACAGAAGGTATATGATCATCAATGTGTGGGATTTGGTCTTTGGAAGCACGAGCTGAGAACTTGCTTTATGATCCATAAACGCACTTAAACCTATCCTTTCACTAATTGAGAGGGATTCCCGGATAAATTAATTTACTATGGCAAGTTTTTAAAGAATAGTGAACTATGTCCATTGTAAAAAGTTGTCCTTTTTGTTTTTGTTTTTTATTGTCCCTGTGGATGTCCCTTTTTTTTGTTCCCTTTGCATCTTAATTTTGACATTACACTTACACTATTTACTGACATATTGCTAGAGTAAAGTTGGCTTCAGGAAAATTATTGAGATGTAAGGTGTGACATTGTGATTTGTTAGCATGTGTTCGTGCTTTATTTTTGTAAGCTTGCTGGGCTGGGCAACCATTTCATATAGGAATGTTATTGCTATGACTTCTGACAACATTTAATGTTTATGGTTTTGTGCATTTTCTACGGTGTGTTTGCCCATATGCTATCTGTGGCATCTATTAGCACTTATTTTTAATAGCATTGTACAAAGATCTCAAAAGCCGCCTATGCATGAACTTACTGGTACACATTAACATCTAATTATTTTCACCAAGTAAAAATGTTGTGAAAAAAAAATTATGAATGAAATGAAGGGGCTTATTTTAATTTTAGATCTGTTCCTACAGTTTTTTCTGTTGTCTCTCTTGTGTTACTGAAATCTTTCCCTGCATAGAATTTTTCTCGTTGTTTTGCAGATACCTGCCTTAACAGAAGTGCATGCTAAAACAAACAGCCTGCTGGAAAACTTCAACTCTTTATTTCATCGCATCATGTCCCGTTTTTACGTGGATGAGAAAATTTTCCCTCCTAAAGGACATAGATATACTGCTGTATATAGTCGAGACAAAGAATATTTGTGTGTATTAACATAAAAATATTTTGTCAATATGTGATCCTGCAATGTTTATTTCAATTTATTTTTCTGCTTTTTTTATTCTTGTCTGTAGGTTTGACATCAACGCCACCAGCTTTTTTACTCCAGCAATTCGCTCAAGAATTATACACTTTATATTGGACCGTAAGAGCTTCTCATCGAAAGCTGATGATGACTTTGCATTTGGCATCGAAAGACTGATTGCTGATGATGTTTATACTGCTGCATACCCTCTGCATGATGTGAGTCACAAAACTAATTCGGGATGCCTTGAATAATTCATACCCCACAACAAGCTAAGTTGTTCTCTTTTTAATTTTTTCCTCCTTTCGGATACAGGGTGAATTGCATCGTCCTGGATCCATGCGCCATCGTTTGTATACAGAGTGGTCTGCTGTTCGGAAAATGCTCCAATATCAACCTTTGGATTATGTTAAAGAGTACTTTGGTGTTAAAATAGGACTATACTTTGCTTGGTTGGGATTCTACACCCACATGCTTTTACCTGCAGCCATTGTAGGGTTGTTGTGTTTTGTATACAGCTGCCTGACTCTTTATACAAATCAACCAAGGTACGTTCCTATTTTAGATTAACTGCAGATTGAGGTAGAAGCCTTGCCTCCAACTTTGTCTCAACTTTTTCATCTTTTTTTTTTTCAGTGAAGACATCTGCAACAAGCAACTTGACATCAAGATGTGCCCCCTCTGTGATCATTTTTGTGACTCATGGTCTTTGGATGAAACTTGCCTTCATGCTCGTGTTACTTACCTTTTTGACAATGGAACAACTGTTTTCTTTGCAATTTTCATGTCTTTCTGGGGTAAGTTAAAATATGTTTGAAAATGTTTCAGTTTACCATTGTCAACAGCAGCAAATTATGGTGTGTGTTTTGTTACAGCTGCCATGTTTCTGGAGCTCTGGAAGAGATACTCTGCTGAAATTACACATAGGTGGGATCTTACTGGCTTCGATGTTCAGGAGGAGCACCCACGACCACAGTATCTTGCCCGTCTTGCGCATGTGAAGCGTAAACATGTTAATGTGGTAACCAATACTATGGAGCCTCATGTACCATTCTGGTCCATGCGCTTTCCTGCAACTATGCTCTCTTTTTCTGTGGTGTTACTACTTGTAGCAATGGCTGTTGTGGCAGTCCTAGCTGTTGTCCTTTATAGGATGTCTATATTAGCAGCACTTAGTGTTTATGGTGATTCTGTTATCACATCTTATGCATTATTGTTTACTACTGCCACTGCTGCATCAATTAACTTGTGCTGCATCATGGTGTTCAATTTGGTAAGTCCTCTTTGTTTCCTGTGCTCTATAATAGTTACATATTTGTTAATGTTTTACTGATACTACTCTTGTCGTCTGCCTACTTTTAGATATACACATGGCTTGCTGAAAGACTAACTGAAGTTGAACTACTTCGAACTCAGACTGAATTTGATGACAGTCTAACCCTTAAAATCTACTTGCTGCAGTTTGTGAACTACTATGCTTCAATATTTTACATTGCATTCTTTAAGGGAAAGTTTATTGGGTATCCAGGAGAATACAAGCGGCTCTTTGGTTACAGGAAAGAGGAGGTTTGTCAAATCTGTTTTTTAATAATACTTGCATGTAATATATTTTTTGATTAATTTTCTTGGACATCACCTTATTCATTGTACCTTCTGTAATAGTGTGGCCCAGGAGGATGTCTAATGGAATTGTGTATTCAACTGGCTATAATCATGGTAGGCAAACAGGCCATGAATACTTTGCTGGAAATGGCTTACCCGTAAGTGTGTCAATTCTACTATTTCAGTTTAAATGATTACGCATGAATCCTGTTCATAAAGCCCTTCTGCTCTTTTTATTTATAGCTTATTCTACAAGTGGTTAAATACATTGAAAGTTAAAACAGGCCTTGAACCGGGCTCTCCTGCTACCAAAGGTCGTTCAAAACAATGGATGAAAGATTTCAAGCTAGTAGAGTGGGGTCCCCGTGGCCTCTTTCCTGAATATCTTGAAATGGGTATGTGGCCTTGCCATAAATTGTTATCTAAGAGATAGTCTAACTAAACTGATTTTATATGTGAAATTATTGTCTTGCAGTGTTGCAGTATGGATTCGTCACAATATTTGTGGCTGCATTCCCTTTGGCTCCGTTTTTTGCTCTCTTAAATAATGTTTTAGAGATGCGCCTTGATGCCAAGAAACTTCTTACTTTTTACCGCCGTCCTGTTAGTCAAAGAGTCAGGGATATTGGGGTCTGGTATCGCATTCTGGATTCCATCGGAAAACTTTCAGTTATTACAAATGTAAGTTGTTAATCATGTCACTGGATAATATTGCAGGGTCTGACCCTGAGCAAAGTTGTTTGTTCTTTCAACTTGACTGCTTTGTTCCAGGGTTGTATTATTGCATTCACCTCAAATTTCATTCCTCGTTTGGTGTATGCCTTTGCTGTTAGTGAAAACAACAGCTTAGATGGTTTTCTAAATCATTCACTTGCATACTTCAACATGAGTGATCTTGAAAAGAAAGCTGCTCCATCCAGAACGGAGTTCAACATTACAGTTTGTCGGTCAGTATTTACAGTCAGCTTTTCTTTAGTCTTACTTTGCCGTTAGCTGTCTATTATTGTTCTTTTCAATTACCAAAAAATCGTTTTGAAATTTAAAAATCTTAACTTTTATTGCAGTTACCCAGATTACAGGGAGCCTCCATGGAGCCCCAATAAGTACGCGCAGACATCAATGTTTTGGCATGTATTGGCTGCACGCTTGGCGTTCATTGTCATCTTTGAAGTGAGTTATTATTTTGTCTAAAAGCTTTAACAACTGAAGGTCCTAATTTTCTATTTAAATAATTTTTTATGTTTCTTCTCTTTTTAGAATGTTGTAGTGTTTGTGATGATTCTTGTAAGATGGTGCATCCCAGATATGTCATCAAGCCTCCGAGATCAGATAAGACGTGAAACGTACATAACAAATGAGATAATCATCAGACAAGAAACTGCCCGAGCAAGGCAATTGTGCAGGAGCTGTTCTCCTGATGGTGGACCTGACTTACAACAAAATCTCAGTGAAGAAACAGAAGCAGATGAACACTATAGAAGAGCGCTTCTCACTCCTTTGACTGGTGCTGACCTTGACTTGGTTGTGATGCTTAGAGGGAAGGAGGAGGAAGAGCGACGCTTGAAAGCAGAGGAGGAAGAAAAGATGAGGCTGTCAGAAGCAGGAACAAGTGAATATGACCCTACAAAGTTGTAATTCTTATTATCTTTTCTTTACAATGTGTGTTTGGATATTAATTAGTGTAATCTCAACTTTTGTAACTTAATTTTCTCATGCATTGCAACTCATGCTAAATTTGAAAGTTTGATGACCTGCTATGAGCAATGCTTTGAGGTTCTCTTTGATTTTACTGAGTCCTACCTCATTGTGTAAAATTAGGTAAAGCATATTTTTTGAATGAAGTTTGACTACACATACTGTATTCCCAAGTAACGGTGTAACTGATAGTTTAGGCCTAGGAGTTGACTGATGACTCTACACATATCCTTGTGCCTTCTTTCAGTTAGTCCTTTACTTTTGACTGGTGCAGCCTTTTTCTGTGATAAATATATTTTCAATCAGCTTTTTAAGTCTACCTCCTCATAGTTAACTCAAATCTCGAATCAGAAAAATACTGTAGTCAGTCACTTTTAGGAGTCACTGCACCACTTAAGCGTAATTTTCTCACCCATCTCTAGTGTTCAATCACTGTTAAAAATCTAGTTCTTCTTGGACCAATTTTATCTTGAGCTGTGACCAATCTGTATATTATTCAGTTTGAAAACTTGGGTTCAACACTAGTCAAATTTCTTTCTTATTCTCTCTTTAGTGTGATAACAAGGTTAAAAACAAAATTAGTTTTTTGATATGTTTCAATCCATGATCATTAGTGAGGAGTTCTTCAATAATAAATGTATCCACACAAAATCATCTTTTTAAAAACATGTTTCAGAATGTTGCAAAGTATGCCTCATAAAAGGTTTTTGTTGGTGTGAATTTCACAGGGTTACTGCAATCATCTAGTCAAGCAATTGAAGAGGAGAATTTATAACCAGAAACCTCTCTCTTTTTGCTGTTATGTTGACAAGTTTCAGCTTCTCGTGTAGGTAGATCACATTATTGCTGTAGCCAATTTTGTATCAGTGGGAAATGTAATCCTCTAGAACTTAATTTTAGGTAAATTTATACATGTCACAAACACACAAAGAATGACGTCTTCTTATGTATAGCAACTTGTTCTAGCTGTCGAGGAGGATTGGAACTCCGAGTCTGAGACTCAATTGAGTTATTTGTGCTGTGAGTCAGTGACAGCTTATCTAATTTCCTCTTTTTTTCCCCAATTAATGCTTCCTTTGCCCAATTTCTCATAAGAGTTACTACTGCCCAGCGTCTTCTATAACTGTTACATTGTTACCTTTCTCCACGAATCAAGTTTTAAATATGTTGGTGTTTTTCAAAGTCTAACCTAAGTTTTGTGGCTTGATTTTTCATTTTAATTAGGAATCCAGTACTTAATGACATAAGGTGTCAGCTGGCTTATGAGTAATGTATTTAAATTATATGAAGTGGCTTTTGTCACTCTGCTTTTGTAAAGATCTGTAGACATCCTTATCTCTTACATAGATTTACTAGATTGGATCTTGCCTTTTCCAAAGACAATTGATAATGAGCGGCAGTCTGTAATATTTACTAATTTTATTGTTATTCTGGTGTCACTTATACATCATTTTGCATTTCTTTTTGTGAAGATTTACAGCAATTTCTATTGCTGAACTTTTGCTGTTGTCTCTTCTTAGTTTTTACCTTGCTTTGGGTTAGTGGCATTTTAATTTAATTTTGTTTTTACTACTGCTATTTGTTAGGAAAATATTTGATGACCCTGTACAGACAGACTTTTAAATCTGGCTGTAGGAGTCATTATGTTCCTATTGCTACCTAATTGTTCTGTTAGACCCGAAGTTGGGTACTGAGAGGACTGAGAGTGTGTCCAAGTGGCTTTGCCTATTGTACCTGTTTGTTAGAGCAGGATCTGAGTTTTGAAACGTTTTGTCCCCTTGTTGATTTATTTTGACACCGTTACATTTTTTGAAATGTGTTTTGTGAAGTTTGAAAATTTTCCTGCACTTTAGTAAAAGAAGTACTTGATACATGGGGTCTATAGAAAGAATCTCATGACTGATTATTAAATAAATATTGTTGTGTTAATAATTTAAAGTTATGTGTGAAGTTCATAATTGCAGAACAAGTCCATAACTCAATTAATGTTATTCGTTTACAAATTATGTGCTTTGATTGATATGTGATTGGCAACTTTGTGCCATTTCTGCTTTCATGTGTGATGTAAACAAAGTCTTTGTGATTAAATATAGTGAACCAATCGCATGGTCTTATTTGCCCCCTCCCTTTAAACAAGGTAGGTGTACGCCAGACCGTGTCTTGTCGTAACAGGCTTCGCGATGCTGCGCCAGTTATGACAATCCACGCCTGGCGTTACACCTACCTTGGCCTGCGGCGCTTGCCTGCCTTCGGCAGGCTAGGTTTCTTTTCCAGGCATCCGCATACCAATTTGCGTGATTGAAGGTCAAAACAGCATTTGATTTCGTGCCTAGGGCTGCATTGGCCTGACTTTTAAACTTGACGAGGCTGGGGGGCTCCGCCCCCCAGACCCCCCTTTCCTCAAGACAGAAGTGATCTGCCTGCAGAAAACTCGATTTTTCGCCGTTTTTTAGGTGTTTTTCGGCTATAAAAACCGAACCAGTTGAGCTAGGATTGTGAAATTTCGCGTGTGCTGAGCCAAGGACATACCCAAAAAATGTGCAAAATCTCACCGAGATCGGCCGAGCCGTTCAGGAGGAGTAGCGCGGACACACACACACACACACACGCACGCACGCACGCAGACAGGAAAAATTTTTCAACCCCACCTGAGTAACAGGCTTCGCTATCGCTCAGCCAAAAATCTCTTGCAACTACGAGAGGGTTGATAGAACCGGTGCTTTTCAGCAAGATTTTGACATAACCAATCATATGTGAGGAATTCAAGGTAAACAAGTAGAAACCATTTGGCGTCCTTGATGATTTTTTTTAAAAGCGTATGAAAGTTTTAAGAAAAGTGACAAAACAAAAATAAATACTAAACATTACAGTATCCGCCACATAGCAATTATAATTAAAATAATTAATCAACGTCATGCAGTATCACAGAAAATGAAAGGCACCAAGCCACAGCTTCCTGGAGCTGCTCCGCGAGTGCGCGAGGGTTCCCCTCCTACTTGGGCGGGTCGCGCGCCACGAACGTGGTAATCTTGCCGTTGTCGTTGACGCCGGAGATGGCCTCCTTGTAGCTGGTGGTCTTGCCGTTGACGGTGCTGCTGCCCGATGACACGGCGCTGAAGGTGCCGAAGGAGCCGCCGCCGGGGGCTGCGATGGGGCCGCCTTGCCGCTGGCCCAGCTCGGGGTGGTCCGCGTCACCGACCTGCAAGTCACACCACACCGCCGTCAAAGACGTCGCCACGGCCTTCGTTTGGCACAGCAGCACAGCAGGCGATGGCGCTACTCACGGATGCCTCTCCAAAGCCACCCTGCGGCCCGATGGAGGCGGAGGCCATGGCGTTGGCGGGCCCCGCCCCGGCGCCGCCGAACGCTCCGCCGCCGTAGAGCCCCATGCCGGGGGCGGGCGCGCTGAACGGGGTGCCGTACATCCCGAAGGCCGGCATGCCGTAGGGCGCCTGCTGCGGGAAGCCGGGGAAGCCAGGGAAGGCGCCCGCGCCGCTGGGCCCCGCGTACGAGCTGGCCCCCGAGGACGCCCCCGAGGACGCCATGCCGAAGGCCGACGCGCCGCCCAGGGGTCCCATGGGCACGCCGAAGCCGGGGGCGGACGGCGCTGAGGGCCCCGTGACGCCGGGGCCGCCGCACACGGAGCATGGCCCGCTGCCCGCGCCAGCGCTGTCCGGCTCAATAGCGTTACTGCCCGTGTAGCTGGGGCTGGGGCCGCTACGGCAACACGCCAACACAAACCGTCAGCATCGCGACGGAGTCACGGCGCCATGCTCGGCGCCATGCGGGCGTGGCGCCGTGGCCGTCGGGATGCTGCCCAGGGAAACACCGATGCGGCACTTAGCAGCGATGCCCTGCCGGAGACTCACCTCGGGGCGTACTGCGGCTGCGCCTGCTGCTGCGGCGGCTGTTGCTGCTGTTGTTGTTGTTGCTGCTGCACCTGCTGGGCGAACTGCTGCAGGTAGTTGATGTACTGCTGGAGGAACGAGTAGAAGTCCATGGGCTGCTGCGGCGCCTGGGGGCCCATGCCGGCGAAGGGCATGGCGGGCATGGGGGGCATGAGGGGCATGCCGCCCATCGGCCCCGGCCCCGCGAAGGAGCCCGCGAAGCTGTTGCCGCCGTAGCCGCCGGCGCCTGCTCCGGGGAAGCCCGGGAAGCCTCCGGCGCCTCCAGCAGCCGGGAAAGGAGCTGCGGAGAGGGAACGAAACGGAGTGAGTCGCTGGGGAGGCACTCGCCGCCAGCAAGTCCTTGACTCGTGCCTTACCTGGGCCGTAGGTGCCACCGGAGCAGCTACCCCCGCTGCAGCCGCCGTAAGCGCCGACGGCGACGCCGCCTCCAGGAGCGCCGCCCCCAACAGGACCACCTTCAGAGGCACCGCCTCCAAGAGCTGCAGGCGGCGCACCTCCACGTGACCCGGTGAGCGGGCCGGCGACGCCCCAGCTGGGCTGCGACGGCGCGTTGCCGGGCAGGGGAGGCGACTGGGATGCAGGGGCGGGGGAGGGGGCAGGGTTGGGTTTGGGGGATGACGCTGGGGCCGCTGCGGGGGGCAGCGGGCTGGGGCCGGAGGCCTGCGCACCCGCCCCACCGGCGGCCGGGTATCCTGGGGACGACGACGAGCTCGACGACGACACGTGTCCTGCGGGGAAACAGACGCCGTTGAGTCGACGCGCCTCGGCAACAACACGTGCACTCGAGTGCTGCAGCTGCAGTGGACTCACCCGGGCCCTGCGAGGACACTGTGTGCGACGTGCCGGCTGGGTAGGAGTTGCTGGTGGAGAAGGCCGTCTGGTGGCTGGAGCCTCCGGGACCGCCCGAGGAGGACGACGACGAGGACGACGACGACGAGGAGGAGGTGGCTCGCGTCAGCCGCACGTGCACCGAACCTGCGGAAACGGGTGTCGGTCAGGTCAGGGAATGCCTAGCAAGGGGACGCTGTGCAGCGGGCGGCAGGGCGGCAGCGGGTCGGGGGAGCTGCGCAAGGACAAGGTCAAGACAAGGGCGCGTTGGCGGTGGCGGCCGTGGCCATGCGTGGAGGAAGCAGTGCCGCAGAAGCTGGTACCACGGCCTCGCGCCTCGATCGCGCGGGCCCCGCCGACTCACACTTGAGGGCGCGGCGGTTGGCGGTGGACGGGCGACTAGCGTCGGGCTCACAGTTGCCGGCCTGGGCTTTGGCCTGGGCCTGGTCCGCCTTGGTGACGACGCGGCCTGCAACACGACCACCATCGCCCTGCCGCTGGAAAATGCCCTGCCGATCGACCCGCGTCTCGTCTCGTGCCGTCGCTCTGAAATTGCCCCGCCGCGGGTGAAGAACCCCAAGTTCCTCGACACGACGCGTCGCGGCGCGGTGGCGGTGGCCAGGCGCCAATGTCGCCGTCGTCGCCAAGCCTTTTTGTCTTTTTGCCTTTTTGTCGGGCATGGGAGTCACTGTTCCGCTGCTCCGCTTTCTTCTGTGTCGAGGACTCCCTCAGCCCCCTCTTTCCTCCTCCCCCTTCCTTCCTTCCTTCCTCTAGCCCTCCGGGTGGATTGACACTTCACGCGTCGTCAACCCCGCCGTGCTGGGTGCCGCGCGACCGCACAGCCCGAATTATTACCCGATCACGATTTGCTTTGTCGCTCTGTCTCTCTCGCACGCCTTTGGGACGCCCCACGAGAGGGAGAGAGACCGACGACGCAAGCCCGAGCCGCCCGCGCATCGCACACGGCTCCTCCACGTGTTCAAGAAGTGATGCACCTCGTTGCAGCGCGGTGCTTTCACTGAAGCGACGTCGGTGGCATGCGACTCGTTGTCTGTGACGTGCCTGTGACGCGTCTGTGACGTCTGTGACGTGTCACACGCGGAGCGTCTTTGCTTTCACCAGGCGCTGTTCATTGTGTCACACAAGTGTTTTTTCCCGTTGTGCCGCGCAGGCAGGAAACAAAAACCACGCACGCTCAGAGCTAGATGCAGAGCGGGTCTGACATCGAATCCCACACTTTGTTTCTCTGTCCCTCTCTTCCACTGCCGTGCGTGGCGTCCGCGCCGGAGGCGCCTCACGCCGCTTCTGCTTTTAATTATTGCGATATTTGCATCGGGATCGGCGAGGAGGCCGCGCGGCAGGCGGTGCCGTGGCGTCCTTGCCGCGAGGGGCCGCCGGGGGGCCGTCCAGGAGTCCGATCCCGAGCTGCTCTTTGTCACTCTGCCTCTCTCTCACCCCTTTGGCCGCGGGACCCCGCCGGGGAGCAGAATCAGGATCATCATCCTGCTGGGGCTTGGCTGGAGTTGGACTGCAAAAGGCGTCATCCGACGGAGAGCCCCTGAGCTGCTGCTCTAACGGACACCTTCAGCGCGGTGCAGTACAGTGCGAGTTGGTCGCGGTGCGCCGCGGTGCGCGAGGATTCTGCGGCCGGTTGCCGGATGGCGCGAGGGGCCGACCGCAGGGCGGGGCGGGGCGGGCCGCCGAAATGCGTCCCATTCAGACGCCGAGGCGCTTGAGGTTGAGGCTCGAGGTTACTCCCGGGCAATGTCAAGAGCGGCGCGAGGCAGGCAGCAAGCGGCAGGTGAGTCCCAGTCACGCGGCGCCCGAAAACGTGACGGCAGGCACGACGCGGCTCACTTTGGGCTTGGGCCTCCAGCAGGCCGTCAGCGCGCCGCCTCTCTCGCACTCGTGGGGCGTCCCGCAGGGGCGCGAGAGAGACAGAGCGACCAAGCGCTGTTCGGAATCTGCGAACGGGGAGGCGTCGTGCGGGTGTTCGACGGTTTGCCGCCCTCTCTCCAGCAGGCACAGCCCTGCGCCGGGGCGGCCTGGTCTACCGGTTCGCGGACGTGTTGTTTTGGAGCGCGTGTTTGACAGGTCGGCGGTGCCATAATGACGCCTCCCCGCGAGTCAAGTTCGCCGCGCACGTTTCCGAGTGACTCACGCTGCGAATCGATTCCGAGTCCGGGGCCGGGGCCGGGCGGGCCGACGCCGACGTCGGCGGGTACGTGTACCCAAGGCGGCACTTTGGAGGGCCGGGAAAGCATCGCGTCTAACGGCGTCGCGACGTCGCGGCCCGCTCTCTGTCTCTCTCCCACTCGCAGGGCGCCACGGAGGGCCGGCAGACGTGGGCGGCGGACTCGCGCCTGGAATACCAACAAGGCCCGCGAAAACAGAACGGAGTCGGCGAGACGCGCTGGACATCCGTCTGCCGAGTGCACGAGGCGGTTCGCACGGCGTGTGACTGTGACGCGGACGCGGACGCGCGACGTGCACTCAGGACCAGCAACCAGCACAGTCATACGCGGAGTGCTCTGGCTTTAACGCCGCCCGGCCCGGGCCCACTGGGTTTTCCCCGGACAGCGTGGCGCGGCTACAGCACGGCGCGCAGATCTTTATCACTGAAAAGAAGAGGAGGCGAAGAAGAGCCGCGACTTGCTCGGCGGCCGTCCGCGGGTCAGACGGACGCCGCGATACGGACGATGCGGGAAAAACAATGAAACACCGTCGCGGAAAAGTTAGAATAAGGCGCAGGTCGGGGAGCTGCCGTGGAGGCTGGGAGAAGGGCGGCCGCAGGGCGATTAAACCCTGGAAGAAACCTGAAAGGAACCCACCCCGGACGCCGGGCCGACGAGCACTTACCGACGTCCACGGGCTTGGCGGCGAGGGCGACCGACAGCGCCAGGCTGACGCCCACTAGAACGGCGGCGTACTTCATGGTCACGGACACACGCACACACTCACTCACGCTCGGACTCACACGCGCACGCACTCGCGGACTGACCCGCGGACTGACGGGGACAGGGTTCAGGTGCGAGGCTGAGGCTGCCTGTCTTGGCGGGCGTCCGGGCGACAGTGGCGCCGCTGGTGGCCGCCGGCCGCGATCTCGCGTCGGGTGGGGCCCGGGGGCCCGGGGACCCGGGGGCCTCCGCGGCGGTCCCGGGGCACGCCGGCAACGACCCGGAGCGGGAGGAGGGGGCGGGGCGGGGCGGTAACTGAACACTGCAAAAGCCCCTCCACTCCGGTCCACCACACTACACCGGCACCGGCCCACTGCCGGCGGCGCCTTGCCAAGGTCGGGGCCCGGGGCACCAGGATCAGGACCTGCACGGGCGGCGCAGGCTGCGCGAACCGCCAGGAGGAGCGACTTCGGCGTTGACACTTGGAGATGACCACGACCGGGACTGCCACTCGAGCTGCGAACGTTAAAACCGAACCGACGTCCCAGGGCGAGGCGTCCCGACGCGGACTTTGCTCCAGGATGCCCGCCCGCACTGGGAAACAGGATACGCGGCTTCCTTAGGACGGCGCGCCAATTATCGCCGGGATTGTTTTGATCACGCCCACGCCCGCAGTGGAGTGGTCCTGGAGGAGTGGGGGAGCGCTTACACTGTACACCTGTCCGACACGACGGCCATAAGTCTGGCCCGGCCGCGCCCGGCCCGGCTCTATGCATCTCATTGCTCCAACTCGCGATGGCCTGGTCCTGGTGCCTTTGGGGCAGCCTCAGTGGCTTTATTCCGGGGAAGCCGGGGCGGCGACGTCGGCGACGTCGGCGTCAACGGCGCGGCGGGAATCCTCCACGGCGAGGAGTAGCGAGGCGGACGCGGGCACCTCCAGGGAAGAGGCGTCGGCCCCAAACAACCACGGTGGGCACGCCGTGACGTACGCAACAGCAAACTCCGATTCATCCCAAAGCCCGTCTTTCGGAGAAAGATGCTCGCTCGCTTCGACGCGATAATGGAATAATTGCGAACCGTGCGCGGCGTGGCGTGGCGCGGCACGGCACGGCACGGCGCGGCCGCCAAGGCTGAGGCTGGCGTTGGACCACGTCGCCGCGCCGGGGCCACCAAAGCGATAAGTCATCGCAGTGCAAAGCAGTGCAGAGCAGTGCAGTGTGGTGGGCGTTGACGAGGGCTTGCACTGCCTCGCCGGGCGGTAGCGCCTGCCGGCCCGGGGGTAGGCAGCCCGTCGGCTCGCCGGTCGGACGGGCGGGCCTACGCTGCAGGCGTTAGGCTGGCCGTCGAGGCTGCCGGCAAGTACCCGCGCAAGGCGTGGCCGCCAGTGCCAGTGGCCGCGGTGATCTCTGCTCCGCGGCTGGCATTTAGGTCTCCGAGTCCCTTCGGTCCCTTGGCGGGCGGTACCCGCACTGAGTAACGTGGCCTGCCGCGCGCATCGGAAGGATATCGGCTTGCCGCCCTCGCCTCGCCGCGGACACCGAGCCGCGCCACGGTCCGGCGCTTCGGCGTGGAAGGCCATTTCGGAGGCTCTTCCTCTGCGACGTCCGCGACCACCATCACGACGCCGGGGTCCTTGTGCTTGTCCGCCACACCGCGCCACGTCGCGCCGCACCGCGCCACACCGCGGCGCCGCGAAAGTGACACTCCACTCGACATCGGCCAGATTGTTGGCGCCCGTAGACCCGCAGATAACCGGCGGCGTGCTCTGGCGAGCCCCTTGGAGTGCCATGTGCCAAAGTGTGCGTCACCGGCACCGGCACCGTCACCGGCAGCACCGATTAGCTTCTCGCGCCGCATTGGCGGTGTGGGCCGCACCTGCCGAACCTGCCGGATGACGCATCTGTCTCTCTCGCACCTGTAGAGCCGGACGCTTGGGCGGACGTCGCTGGAGCGAGAGAGAAACACCGCGCGTCCGAAATCAGTCAGATGAGGCGGGTCAGAGTCCTGCCCAAGTGGAGTGCGGGGCGGCCCATGCGGACCACCAGATTTACTCGGCACAGCGTTTTTTCGCTCTGGCTTTTTCGCACCTCTACGGAACTTTCCACGAGTGCGAGAGAGACACAACAACGAAAGTACTGCTGCGAAGTGCCCTGCAGGCGCGCCACTTGTTGGTGTTTGTCTGAGCCGGGCCGCCAGGCCTAGCAAAGAAAGCCTTGTCATTGTCATAGACCAGGTCTGCCCTCGTGGCGTGTTTGCAACCTTTCTGCGTAGTGAGTGGCGTAGATCTTGCTCAATCTATCGCAGTGATTTGAGGACCTCACACGGAACTTCCCCAGCGCCCTTTCAGAGATAGATGATTCGCAAGTTATTGGATCCATTATTTTATTTTTTACTCTACAGTTAATCATTATAAAACTTACATACGACAAGAATCATTAAATTAAATATTTACAACAGTCTTTCCACTGCCGCGCCAGCGCAGCAGCCACCCAGACATCTGTCTAGCCAACTCATCTTAGTCTCTTCAGTGACTAGAAGGTACTTTATACGACTTTATACAAGAGACATGAGACATCTAGGCAGCAATGGGGTTCCTGGGCAGCAGGTTCATCCTGAGCTCGCGCTTGGGCAGGGGCACGAAGGAGCGGGGGGCGAACTCGACCTCCTCGGGGGTGTCCTCGCTGGGCTCGATGCGGAAGCGAGACAGCAGCATGGCCACGGAGGTCTTGACCTGCACCAAGCCCAGGCGCTGGGCCACGCAGACGCGGGGGCCGTCGCCGAAGGGCAGGTACACCTGCGAGGGCCGGCTGGCCTTGGCCTCGTCGCTGAAGCGCTCGGGGTCGAACTTGTCGGGCTCGGGGTAGTACTGGGGGTCGTGGTGCAGCGCGCGCACGGGCACGATGATGCGGGTGCCCTTCTCCACGTGGATCTTGGTGCCGGGGATCTCGCGGGCCTTCATCACCTCGCGGTTCAGGAACGGCAGAGGAGGGTACTTGCGCAGGGTCTCTGTGGGCACAAGAGGAACAACGTCAGCACGCCTGCAGCAGACAGAGAGGAAACGAAAGGAAAGGAAGCGCCAACTTACCGCTCACGACCTTGTCCAGGTAGGTCATCTCGCTGACGGCGTCGAAGGTGAGCTCGCCGTTGTGGCGCTTGAGCACCTCCTGCACCTCCTCGACGATCTTGTCCTGGATCTCGGGGTGCTTGGTGAGCTCGAACATGGTGAGGGAGGTGGTGGCGGAGGTGGTGTCGAAGCCGGCGATGAAGAAGATGTAGACCTGGGCGATCATCTCGTTCATGGTGAGCTTGCCGCGGGGCTGGCCGTCCTCAGGCTCGGTCTCGTCGCCCTCCTTGGCGTCCTTGGAGATGAAGCCCTTGTTCTTGAGCTGCATCAGCATGTTGAGCATGTCGGCGCGCTCGATGCCGTTCTGCTCGCGGTAGGCCACGGTGTCGGTCACCAGCTTGGTGAAGAAGGACTCGATCTCGTTGACGGTGATGGAGAACTTGAACTTCTGGGCGGCCTCGCGCAGGAAGAACAGGACCATGAGGCGCACGCTGTTGAAGACGGTAGGCTCCACCACCTTGGTGCCGATGCGGCGGAACTCGGACTCGGGGGTCTTGAGGCTGTTGCTCTGGATGCCGAAGGCCACGGAGGAGATGACGTCGGTGGACACGCGGGCCTGCATCTCACGGATGTCGGCGTTGTAGCGGCCGCCGTTGGCGGCGATCTTCTCGTCCACGAAGTCCTGCAGCTGGCTGCAGCACTCCTTCATGGTCTCGAACATGTACTTGACCTTGCTGGGCGAGAAGGTGGGCGCGATCTTGGCGCGCAGCTCCTTCCAGCGCTGGCCCGACAGGTTGAACAGGTGGGCGGTCAGGGGGTCGCGCTCCGTCTCCACGTAGATGCCGCGGCCGTGGAAGTCCTGGAAGTCCTTGATGAGCACCTGCTTGATGATCTCGGGGTCGTGCAGGTGCAGCAGGGGCTGCATCATGACGAAGGTGCCCGCCACCGGCTCGTTGGGGTAGTCCTTGTACACCTTGTCGGCGATGTCGCCGATGCTGTTCTGGCCCATCAGGTTGGAGCCGAAGTTGCCCGTGAGCAGGGTTGGCGCGGGGCCCGGCACCTTGCGCTTGGTCCAGTACGAGAAGACCTTGGCCAGGTAGGCGTACAGGGCCACGCCCACGCCGGCCAGCAGGGCAGCGATCGTCCAGCCGATCATGTTTGTAGTTGCAGTGGTTGCTGAAGACGGGGAAGTCTTGCTTGTTGATCTGGCCGCTGGGGACTGATGCTCTGTGATTGGCCCCCGGGCTTTTTATTGGCTAGATCCTGCAGCGGTGAATTGTCACTTCTCTCTATCAGGCTTTCTATCTGTCGCGTCGCATTTCGCGAAAAACACACCGCCAAACTTTTGCTGAGTCAGGCAATCGGTTTGTCATTCTGACGCGTAAATGTTGGAGTGTGCGCTATCGGAGGCGGAGGGTGCGCCTGGACCCCGGCACCTGCGGTGGCCAATCATGCACTCAGGCAATCTCCACTTTTTGTCGCATCTGTTCTCGCGATCTACTCGTAGTGCCGCGTGCTGCGTGGAACGAGTCATCAAGACGCTCCTGCTCTTAACGGAGACTAGACACCCGCTCAATTTTCCCGTGTTTCGCTATCTTCCAAATGATTTCTTGATCGAAGCCAGTGTGGCGAGTTGACCTCTCCGATCCTTGTACTTACATTCCCGCAGGACCGCAACCAACGGTAAATTCAGAAGAAATACGCACCTGAAAATCATGCTTCCCCAAAGTGCCCACGTTATCAGAAACCTCAATTGCTGATGCAACCAGACAATTTGCCCGCCAGTTAGTACCGTGCATGTCATTGCCTGTCGATTTTTTCTACACTGATGAAAGGTGTACACGTTTCGTCAGCGAAAATTGCTAATGAAATCTTTGAACAATTTATGTTTTGTGTAGAGCTCTTATAAACCGGACCGCGAGAAACCGGGTAAGACCCGGTTTGTTACGGAGTGCGATTAGCCGCCTTAGTTTGGGAGCGGTATTGCAGCGAAGTTTGTCGAAACTGTAACAAATGTGTAGAAATCATCATTTGGGCTGACTTTAGACAGCCACTGCATCTAATCTAAGGCGGCCAATCGTTCTCCCTCAACGGGTGGGCACTCTTTGGGCCTTCCTTTAGAACACCTTTGTTACGGAGTGCGATTCGCCGCCTTAGTTTGGGAGCGGTATTGCAGCAAAGTATGTCGAAACATTCCCGGACGATTCCGGATGGTTCCCGGACATGGCATACACATGATTCGCTGAGTGGCGGACCCCGCTCCGTATCACCATGCTTCATGCTCTTGTAACCGTGTACGCACGTGCCAATCATCATATGTTATTGTTTACCTAGTAGACTGTTGGGTCTGGAGTGTTTTAAGAGATAACCTTTCGCTTAACTCATTGTTTGGCGAGCTAACAAAAACAACTGTTAATTTTGCCAAAAATTTCGATTTTGTGGAAAAAAAAAATTGCGAGTCATCGTTGTCATACGTCCTAATTTTACAAGGTTTTTGTTTCGAAAGTGCGTCGACTTGCCCTTTGAGGCGGTGTGCGGAGCGGTCGCGGTTCTGGGTACGGCGCGGGGATTCCCTGCCGGGTCGCTCCACACCACGCCCACGCCCGACCACGCCCACAGGCAGACACTCGCGCCACGCCCACAATCACAAACTCAAACAAGGAGGAGGTGGGAATGTCTGGGTGTTTGTCGGCCCAACAAACGCTCTCGTTGAAAGAGGGCTTATTTGGCGGAAACGCGGACGTTGACTGAATATCTCTGTTTCCCTGAACACCTGCCCTGCAACACCTGCTCTTTCACCCTCGTCGGGAAACCGTGGCGGGCCGTGGCATGGCGCGGCTGCCGAGAGTGGCGACCCAAGCGCGGCCACTCGAGATAACAGGACGCCGCCAGGCCCTTGCATAAAGCACGAGCGGTGCGCCACCGCGGCAGTTCTTCTCGTTGAGTCAACAGAAAAGCTCCAGGTAAGCGACGGGGGCTGCACCCTGAGAATGCCTCGTGAACGATCATTCTAAATTCAAAAGTCAATTATGTATGTTATCCATGAATTATGCTAGTTATAATTACAGCATTTAAACTGTCATGCGGGATCTTTCCCCTGGCTTTGTAAAAAAAAATTAGGCAAGTAAGAAATCAAATTCTTACCTGCTGACTCCATCTTATATTCGCGCCTCAACTCTCTCAATTACTTTAGCACCTAATTGACATCTAGGTACATTCATTTTAAAAAATGACGCTGTGCGTATTCTAAATTGACGACTCCTGTGTACTTCGTTAGAAGTAAAAAGCTGCATAAACATCGGTTTTTGACAAAATCGAATGACCGAACGATCGGATTGAATCACGTGTTCCCTTCGATTTGTACAGCAGTTTACACGCGGTGCAAAAATCAAAGTCGCGAGATAGAGCAATCGCTCCAACATTAAGAGCCCATCACCGAACACTCTGAATCTTTATCGATAACAAGCATACAAGTCAGATCGAGAGGCTACCGGCTTCAGAGAACCCAATACCCTAATGCGTATTCGATGAAGGTGTGACGAAATGGCTGACTTTTGCGAATTTTGTTTCCAGAATGATCGGCTGGACGATCGCTGCCCTGCTGGCCGGCGTGGGCGTGGCCCTGTACGCCTACCTGGCCAAGGTCTTCTCGTACTGGACCAAGCGCAAGGTGCCGGGCCCCGCGCCAACCTTGCTCACGGGCAACTTCGGCTCCAACCTGATGGGCCAGAACAGCATCGGCGACATCGCCGACAAGGTGTACAAGGACTACCCCAACGAGCCGGTGGCGGGCACCTTCGTCATGATGCAGCCCCTGCTGCACCTGCACGACCCCGAGATCATCAAGCAGGTGCTCATCAAGGACTTCCAGGACTTCCACGGCCGCGGCATCTACGTGGAGACGGAGCGCGACCCCCTGACCGCCCACCTGTTCAACCTGTCGGGCCAGCGCTGGAAGGAGCTGCGCGCCAAGATCGCGCCCACCTTCTCGCCCAGCAAGGTCAAGTACATGTTCGAGACCATGAAGGAGTGCTGCAGCCAGCTGCAGGACTTCGTGGACGAGAAGATCGCCGCCAACGGCGGCCGCTACAACGCCGACATCCGTGAGATGCAGGCCCGCGTGTCCACCGACGTCATCTCCTCCGTGGCCTTCGGCATCCAGAGCAACAGCCTCAAGACCCCCGAGTCCGAGTTCCGCCGCATCGGCACCAAGGTGGTGGAGCCCACCGTCTTCAACAGCGTGCGCCTCATGGTCCTGTTCTTCCTGCGCGAGGCCGCCCAGAAGTTCAAGTTCTCCATCACCGTCAACGAGATCGAGTCCTTCTTCACCAAGCTGGTGACCGACACCGTGGCCTACCGCGAGCAGAACGGCATCGAGCGCGCCGACATGCTCAACATGCTGATGCAGCTCAAGAACAAGGGCTTCATCTCCAAGGACGCCAAGGAGGGCGACGAGACCGAGCCCGAGGACGGCCAGCCCCGCGGCAAGCTCACCATGAACGAGATGATCGCCCAGGTCTACATCTTCTTCATCGCCGGCTTCGACACCACCTCCGCCACCACCTCCCTCACCATGTTCGAGCTCACCAAGCACCCCGAGATCCAGGACAAGATTGTCGAGGAGGTGCAGGAGGTGCTCAAGCGCCACAACGGCGAGCTCACCTTCGACGCCGTCAGCGAGATGACCTACCTGGACAAGGTCGTGAGCGGTAAGTTGGCGCTTCCTTTCCTTTCGTTTCCTCTCTGTCTGCTGCAGGCGTGCTGACGTTGTTCCTCTTGTGCCCACAGAGACCCTGCGCAAGTACCCTCCTCTGCCGTTCCTGAACCGCGAGGTGATGAAGGCCCGCGAGATCCCCGGCACCAAGATCCACGTGGAGAAGGGCACCCGCATCATCGTGCCCGTGCGCGCGCTGCACCACGACCCCCAGTACTACCCCGAGCCCGACAAGTTCGACCCCGAGCGCTTCAGCGACGAGGCCAAGGCCAGCCGGCCCTCGCAGGTGTACCTGCCCTTCGGCGACGGCCCCCGCGTCTGCGTGGCCCAGCGCCTGGGCTTGGTGCAGGTCAAGACCTCCGTGGCCATGCTGCTGTCTCGCTTCCGCATCGAGCCCAGCGAGGACACCCCCGAGGAGGTCGAGTTCGCCCCCCGCTCCTTCGTGCCCCTGCCCAAGCGCGAGCTCAGGATGAACCTGCTGCCCAGGAACCCCATTGCTGCCTGAACATCTCAACGAGATTGATTGCCATCGGCAGCCACTGATGAAAATTAAAACCGTCATCCACTGCTATCTGTCGTTTTATCTGTCTTCCCCGCCCCGAGCGCTATCATCGCCTGGATGCAGGCTGCGGCCGGCACCGCGGTGTGCGATGAGTTGCCTATCCCTCGGACTGCAGGCGCACAGAGCCCGTCCTAGGCGACCACACATCTCATTTACTAGAGTTTGGACATGTAACTTAAGGGAATTGGTAAACAAAACATCACTAAGCTTTGTAAAATGTCTAAAAAAGTGTTTGAATGTCTATATTCATAAATGCCATGCACACGAATTTATACAAAAAATATCTACAAAGTAAGATCTCACACAATGGCTTTCGTTCATCGCGTTTACAAATCACAGTGACAGGGATAACAGGGCACAGTCCTGGGCCGTTGACGGTGACAGTTCAACAGAAGAAGCCGCTCTCGCCAACGCTGTGGCTACCGAGCTCCTCCCAGGGCGTCCGTCTAGCCTGTTATTTTTTTAGGAATATCACAGTCGCAGCTTCCCGGAGCAAACGTCTTTGTACATCTGGGCGGTGAGAGGCACGAAGGTGGCGCCCTGCCTGAGGAAGAGGGGGTCGCTCACGACGGCCGGGTCGTAGCCCTTGAAGCACGAAGGGCCAATTCAATTAATACACAACGCACAAATATTTGTAAAGTAAAACGGACGGTGTGTCCAGTTTCATGTGGAGTGGAACGGTTCTTTTCTTGGTTTGTGCCACACAAGAACCGGACTCAAAGTAAATCACCTGCTTCTGCATGGCAACCTTGACGATCTTGTACGTGCTGGTCTTCTCCAGCTTGGCCGGCGTGCGCAGGAACAGGGGCCTGGCGTACGAGGGCAGGTGGCTGTCCAGCACCTTGGCCAGGGCCTCCAGGTCCAGGTCGCCGTCGCTGACCGCCACCGCCGCCATGCCCGCGCGGCCCTCGGAGCCCGCCACCTGTGAGGCAGTGTGTTGGATCAGGTGGTGTCGGCACGCCAGACTTGACTCGGATACTCGAAACCGTTTTATATTCAACTGCAGTTTTTGTGATGGACTGCATCGCCTCACCTCCACGCCGTACACGGCGATGTCCCGCTGCCCCACGGCGGCCATGACGGCGGCCTCGACCTCCGCCGTCGACACGTTCTCGCCTTTCCACCTGAGCGGTCAATAACAGTTGCTTGACATTGCAAACGGCAACAGAGAAGAAGAAGAGATTTTTTCCGTGAAATCAGTTGTTACCTGAATGTGTCGCCGGTCCTGTCCCTGAAGTAAATGTAGCCCAGCTCGTCCATCACGAGGATGTCGCCTGCGGACAGAAAGCAGGTCAGTGCCGATGCCGCGGCGTGGCGGCGGGGCAGCAAACCATTACGCACCCGTCATGAACCACTTGTCGCCCTTGGCGTACACGTCGCGGAGGATCTTCTTCTCGGAGGACGCCGTGTCCACGTAGCCGTGGAACTCCCTGGACGGGTCCGAGTCCGAGATGTAGCCCACGAGCATGCCCGGCTCGCCGATGTCGCAGCGCTGGCACAGGCCGTCGCCGCCGCGCACGATGTCGCCCGTCTCGTCCACGCGCACGAAGCCGATGGGCAGCACGCTGAGCGGCAGGATGCGCGGCATGAAGCCCACGGCGCCGACCGTGTTGTCGAAGTTGACTGCCAAACGTTACAAGGCTTCATTCAAGCTTCAGATTCGCCACAATGAAATGTAGCAGTCTCGCACAGTGGGCCAGACGACCGGCGGAGGCAGCCGAAATTCCAGACGTGTTTTGAACTCCAGTCACTAAATGGGACCCAAACCGAACGTGTGACCCCACCGACGGATTCCTCCCCGAACGAGGAATCCATTCGTGAGGTCACACGCTTGGTTCGAGTCCTGTTCAGCGACTCATGGCGCTCGATACGTGTCTAGAATTTTGGCCCCTCCACCGGTCGTCTGGCCCACTGCCTCGGTGCGCCGCACTCCGCACTCACAGAACGTGACGTTGCCCTCGGTGGAGCCGTACAGCTCGACGACGTTGGGCACCTGGAAGCGGTCCACGAAGCGCCGCCACACGGCCGTGCGCATGCCGTTGCCGATCATGTAGCGGAGGCGGTGCTGCTTGTCCGAGGCCTGCTCGGGGGTGGCCAACACGTAGCGACAGATCTCACCGATGTACTGCACGAGCTGCAAGCCGAAACACCGTTAGCACCACGCGTCGCGCCCTGGGGGGCGGGCAGCTGGCGGACTGGACTACGCACCGTGCACTTGTACTTGATGCAGTCGGGGATGAAGGCGGATGCAGAGAACTTGGCCCGGATCACGACCGTCATGCCGTAGAACAGGCCGTAGCCCACGGCGCACATGCCGCCCGCCGAGTGGTACAGCGGCAGCGGGCAGTACACCACCTCGTCGCGCGACGTGCCCAGCAGCATGGGGATGCCCGTGCCGGCCGCGATGTACCTGCCAACAGCGGTTAGTTAGCACTAACTAGCCCGGGTTCGAATCCCGTCGCTTTTAAGCCGCTTCCTTTACCTGGAGTGGTTGATCTTGGCGGCCTTGGGCAGCCCCGTCGTGCCGGAGGTGTAGATGTACACGAGAATGTCCCGGTAGCCCGGCCGGGGCACCTTGGGCTCGGAGGTCGGTGCGTCGTCGATCAAGGCGTTCAAGTCCTTGACGGCGGGCGGGGTGGCCGCCGACTCACCCGTCGCCAGCAGCTGCAGCATCTCCAGGGAGTCATCCAGCTCGCCCCTCACGTCCTGCACCGCTGCAAACGGACAAGTTGGTCAGGCCGGCCGGTTCTCTTCGGCGCACAGTGGGCCAGAGGACCGATTGGTGAAGGCGGCCAAACTTCCAGGCGCGTTTTGCGCTCCAGAGTCGCTAAACAGGACTCGCACCAAGCATGTGACCGCACAAATCGATTCCTCGTTGGGAGAGCAATCCATTGGTGGGGTCGCACCTTCGGTTTGAGTCCCACTCAGCGACTCTGAAGCTAAAACGCGTCCGGGATTTTGACCGCGGTCTTCTGGCCCAGTGTGCAGCGTGCGTCTGGTCGCGCGCACTCACCCTGGTAGAGGTCGGCGCCGAAGATGATGGCGCGGCTCTTGGCGATGGTGAGGCTGTGCACCAGGGCCTTGCCGCGCTGGTTGTGGTTGATGAGCGCCGCGACGACGCCCAGCTTGGACAGGCCCAGCCACACGGCCACGTACTCGGCGCAGTTGCTCATCAGCAGCGCCACCACGTCGCCCTTCTTGTAGCCGAGGCGCGCGAAGGCGTTGGCCACGCGGTTGCTGTAGTCCGCCACCTGGAGCACATCGCCGTGGTCAACGACAGCGGAGTCCAGGCCCGCGCCCACACTCTACCCCGCCTCACCTGCTGGAACGTCCAGTCGCGGTCGTTGAACTTGAACAGCACCTTCTGCGGGTGCGCGCGGAGGCGCTCGTCGAACACGTCGGCGACGCACGCGTTCCTCCGCTGCATCCGCTTGATGTAGAGGTACGCCGAGACGCCCTTGATGAGGAAGCTGCAAACGACGCCGTCAGTGAGGAACTCGGTTCAAACTTGCCGCCATCGCGGGGCTAGCTGCGTGGCTGGAGGGGCGGGAGGGGAGGGGAGGGGAGGAGGGGGTCAAAGGGCGCCCCACATGGACGACACCACGCTGCGCGCTGCGCCACTCGTTTTTATTGTCAAAAGCTGCCTTATAATTTTATCGTCGCCGCAGGCTTATCGGCCACCCGAAACACAACGTGACGGCAACGTGACCGCGTGACAGGCCGCCGCTCTGCCGCCGCCGAGGCTGGCTGGACTCGCTTCACCGCAGGTCCCTAGAGCAGACACGAGAAGGGGGTGAGGACCAGGAGCAGGAGCGAGGGATTGCGTCGGAGTGCGTGCAGGGGGAGGTGGGGCGGGGGGAGTGACCGACCGGACCGACCACCACGTGCAAGCGTGCGGGTAAACAAAGACGAAAGTGCTTACTCGACGTCGCGAGGCAGTGTGCGGACGATGGACAGGACGCGGCGCCAGTGCCGCACCCCCAGGATGACGACGGACACGACCAGGGGCATCACCTGGCCCTGCCACAGCCCCAGCGCCGCCGAGGCCACCCCGACCAGGGCCCACCCCAGCGCCATCCTGCCGACAAAGTAACACCTCGTTAGACATTCAGACAGAACCCCATTCACAGTCACCTCCAGCGGTAGCAGGCCATCCAGGACACGGCCTGACACGGCGCAGCCGGCTGTCTCTCTCGCACCTATACGGGACGCGAGTGCGAGAAAGACACAGCGACGGAACAAACCTCGGAATCAATCTACTACTGTTACGTCTTGGTTGGAAGCGAGGCGCCGCGCCGCACCCACCTGTGTTCTGAAACTGTACGACTACGTCAAGCCGGCGGCAGCAGCTCGGAGAAGCGCGAGAGTGGTATGAATATGAATCGAGGCGCTTGCAGTGCTGTGCCCGGACCGGCGGGCCGCATATGCAATGTGCACCCCGCGCCGAAAGAACAGAGTAAATGTGCACGCCTTACGTGTCGTTTCCCATTGTACGGCGTGCGGACCGGGTGGCGGGGAGGACCCGGCCCAGTGATAACCTGATACTGTTATCAGTACTTACTTGAACCTCGACGAGACGCGGGCCGTGGTGGGCCGTGGCCGCACTGTTTGTGGCCGCTAATAATCCCCTAATCAGCCCGCCGGCCCGGATGCCAGTGTTTTGATCCGATGCCTTCTGGAACGCGCGCGGCGCAGACGCGAGCGAGAGCGGCGTGCGGCGTCGTGGCCGACTGCATCGAGGGCCTCGCCGAGGCGCGCCGAGGCCAGTACCGCTACGCCGCTACGCCGGCCCAGTCCGCAGAGCCTGGCAGAGCCCGCCAACGCGCCGCCCGGGCCGAGCAGGGGCCGAGCCGAACGAGACCGAACGCACGGCCGAACTTTACCGAACTAAACGAGCCGGCCTTTCGGCTTGCTTTCGGCGCGGCCACGGCGCTCGGTCGGTGCGTTGCGGGCCTCGGTGTGCGTTGCTGCTGGTTTCGCGTCGTCGTCGTCGTCGGGCCGGCCGGGCCGGGGCCGGGCGGGGCGGCCCACACCACACATTCAAATGGTCTCCGCTCCGAGACGAACCGGTTACGCCCCGCAGGAACGAAGACACAAACACAAACAACGCGTAACGCGAGGACCGTCTACCGGGCGGGGGGCGCCGCGCCGCTCCACTGTGTCACCGGATTGTTGAGTGCAAAACAAAGGGAACGCACCAACCTTTCGAAGGTAGATCTGTCTTTGGAATGGCAATCGGGTTCGCACGTGGCCGCGAGATGAGCGGGAAGGTCACGGTAACACGGGCATGGAAGGTTGTTTGGTCCGCAACCCCGGCGACGAACCACCCGAACGCAGCAAATCTCTCTCGTCGGCCCACCGCCCACCGATAGCCAAAATGGATGACCGATTGGATGAATGGGCGTACCTCCTATCTGTCCTGTCCTGTCCGCGGTGCTCGGTGCGCTCGGTGGCCCTGCCTGGCCTGCCTGGCCTGCCCCAACCCGAGGCCGCAGCGACAAGTCCGGCGAGAGCCTTCTCTGCTCCTCGCTGGCCAGCTGGACGAACTGGCCAGGAACTGAACTGGCACGCCGCGCGCCGCAGACCTCGCAGACCTCGCAGCCGTCCACAGCCGTCGCGGTGGCGGATTGCCGACTCGTCCCGTCTCGGCTCGACCCGGCACACGGACTACGCGTGCTTCACTGGGTCGCCCCGCCCTGCCCCGCCTCAGCCTTACCCTTCCCCGCGCCCCGCCGCCCCGCCGCCCCGCCTACAGTGTGCCGCGCACTCTAGCAGCGTTTTGATAAGCCGGTCTCGGTTACAAATCAGTGCATAGTGTCAAGGACGGGCGCGTCGGCGCGGACGTGAACCTTCTTGGCGGCGGGCGAGCGTTGTCCTCCCTGCTTCGCCACGCCGATTTCCCCCTCCCCCTCCCTTTTGCCCTTTCCGCCCTCTCCCCTTCCACCGACCATCGGCGATGGTCCGCATTCCCCAAAGCGCTGCTAGAGGGCGCAGTGTGCCGCGTGCGGGTCACGCACTGCCACGCCTCGCCGCGCCACGCCACGCCACGCCGCCAGTGCACGCTGCAGGTGCGCGCTTGGCGCCACTTCGATAAGCCTCGACAGGGAGTAAGGAGTTACGACTTGCATTCAACCAGCCTGCCTTCTGTTTCGACAATCTTTCATACCGCCATTGACTGGAAGGCGCTACTGCCAGCTGACTTGCAGTTTCCGGGCCGGTTCGCGCAAAGCAACGGCGCCACACTGCAATTATCGAGAAATCGAGGTGGGAGAGGATGTCAACATTTCAATAGGAACGAAGCGTTTTATTCTAGACCGCTAAAGTAACACACAGGCACACGTATATACATTCACTCATATACATACAGACACACAAAAAAAATAAAGAACAGTATGACATTTGGTATCACGCACAGCATTCCGTACAAATAATAAAAATACGACACACATCATCACAGTATAAAAATACACATCTGACTAACATAGAATCAGAGCTATGAAAAAAAAAATAAACTAATGAACTTTAGTGTTTAGTGCCCTCGTCTGATGTGTGATTTGTCTTTTCGTTGTGCTGGTTGCTCAAGTGGTTCAGGATGTTGTTCTGCATCTCGCACTCGTCCTCCTTCTCGTTGTGGTCCAGGTTGAGCCGCGAGCCGTAGAGCTGCTCCTCGGGCTGCACGGCCGTCACCACGGCCTTGACGTCGTCGTCGAAGATCTGCACGTTCTTGACGAAGTACCAGACCCCGGCGTCGAACATGGTCCCGACCAGCACGAACCCTGCGTTCAGTTCAGGCGCCGCAAGAAGGCGGTTCAGTCTGCCGTCCGGAAGTGAGGCAGTTTTTTTACGGCGGTAAAAAGGAGGCGCCCTTACCTGCCGAAGTCAAGTTAAGTAGGTACCGCAGCGACTCCCCGTTGTACAGCCAGCAGTTGCCGTTCCCCGTGCACGTCTTACCCCACACCAGGCACGTGGCGTCTGCAACAACAACGCGCCGCTCTAGTATCGCTTTGGTGGACTCGACTCGGCCCGGCCGGGCGCCCGGCGGTTATGCAGTCCCGTTGCGCACGCGTGCGGCCGGTGCGATGGGCTGCCTACCCGCCGGGCGTCCCGCGTCCCGCGCGCCGCGCGACCCGTTCGCCTTGCCCACACGTACCCATAAGGTAGCCGAAGAAGATCGGGGACGGCATGAAGGCGAAGAGGCTCATGAGGGTGATGCCCAGCCCCATGGCCACGGGCTTGTCCTTCTCCTCGACGCACCTGCGGACAGCATTGTCATGAACGCGCTCCCTGCGAGTCAGAGGCGGTGCGTCCGGCCCGGCAAGCCTACCTGACGGACACCAGGAAGTTGGTGGCCCTGCCCGTGGCGCCGCTGAACTTGAGCAGACAGACGACGGCCAGGAACATGTAGAAGGTGTGCGAGCAGTCGACGGGGCAGGCCCCCGGCGTGGCGATGCCGCCCTCCGGGTACGTCGCCGAGCCGAACGTGGCCGTGGGGGCTGGCGTCGTCCCCAGCAGGGTGCCGTTGCGCATCAGCGGCGCGATGCAGCTGCAGTTCTTGTACGTCGCGACCTGCGGACCGGGAGCGCGGAGCGCGCGGTGAGAAGGAAAGCCGCGCCGCGCTACCCCGTGCGCCAGGGCGCCAGCGCGCCAGGGCGGCGGCCCCGCGCCGCGTGGAGTGTTTCCGCGGCCGCGGCGCGGGGTATCGCCGCCAAGTGCGGCTCGCACTAGGGATGTAAGAGCAAGTAATATTACCGGTAAAGAATGGTAAATTACGGTAAAATACGGTATGTTACGCAGGCCCCGGTAAAATTGGTATTTTTAGTAATTTTGAAACTATTGTTAATTTTGAAAAAAGCGGTGTCAAATGTGTAGAAATCGTCGTTTGGGCTGACTTTGGGCAGCCACTGCGTCTAATCTAAGGCGGCTAATCGCTCTCCCTCAACGGGTGACTGGTCTTTGGGCCTTCCTTTAGAACACCTTTGTTACGGAGTGCGATTAGCCGCCTTAGTTTGGGAGCGGTATTGCAGCAAAGTTTGTCGAAACAGTATCAAATGTGTAGAAATCGTCGTTTGGGCTGACTTTGGGCAGCCACTGTGTCTGATCTAAGGCGGCTAATCGCTCTCCCTTAACGGGTGGGGGTCTTTGGGCCTTCCTTTAGAACACTTTGTTACGGAGTGCGATTAGCCGCCTTAGTTTGGGCCGGTATTGCAGCAAAGTTTGTCGAAACAGTATCAAATGTGTAGAAATCGTCGTTTGGGCTGACGGCACCCGGGCGATCAAGGCGGTAACGTCCCCCCAAGCCTTCCTTTCTTAAAACACCAGGAAAGTTTGGCCGCCTTGTGGGCCGCGGATTGAGCAAAGTTCAAAACGGCAGGAACATGTAGAAAGTTTTTGGGCTGACTTGGGCGGGCCACTGCATCCTGATCTAAGGCGGAAACGTCGCCGCCAACGGGGCCCTGGGGTTTTGGGCCTTTCTTCCCATGTTAGGGTCCCGTTCCCGCATCAGTTGGGAGGGGTTTTGCGAAAAGTCTAAAAAGGTTCTTGTAGTCGCGACCTGGGGACTTGGGCAGCCACGCGCTAATCTAAAGCCGGCCGCGCTCCCCCGGGGTGCGCCCCAGGCACCTTGCTACGGAGTGTGGCCGCCGGAGCGCCGCGGGGAAAAAGTAATTTTCCCGCAAACCGCGGCGCCGTTTTTTCGTACGCCAACATGCCTGCTCGCACTCGGAATCGGAATAAGAGAAGCGCTGCGAACGCGAACCTTGCCGCCGCTGGGCCCGAGGTCGTAGTCGCGGCAGCCCGCGTGGCACGCCGAGATGTACGTGGTGTAGCCGTCGGACGCGCACACCGGGGAGTACTTGACGTACTCGCAGAGGCAGTCCGTGTTGCACTGGAAGGACGTCTCCAGCCTGCGGGGCAGCAGAGGCAGTGTCAGTGGCGCACTGGCCGTGCAGGGGAACGCTAGCGAGCGGCGAGAGGACGTACTCTCCGCTCGGCTTGAGCAGGCCGCCGTAGCTGTCGTTGTCCGGGCAGCCCAGGAAGATGTAGGAGATGATGCCGGCAGCCGAGACGAGCCCCACGAGCGTGTTCCACAGCGCCATGTGGCGCGCGTTGGGCCGGAACTTGGTGATGACGATGCCGGACAGCAGGATGCCGATGCCGGAGAACACGATGCCCACCGTGCCTGCGGAGGGGGCGAGTTGAGTCCTTATTCGTGCACGGCGCCAAGCCAGGCGGGGACAACGACTCACCAGTGACGAGGCTAGAGCTGGACGCGGACTGGCGGTACTGCGTCTCGATGTACTTGGGCATGTAGATCCAGTAGGGCATGTAGCCGAAGAAGTAGAAGACGGAGGCCGCGTTGTTGCACATGAGCGTGGGGTTCTGCAGCAGCCGCTTGAACGTGGTCAGCATGTCTGCGCGCGACAGTGGAGGCACAGAGTCAGAGCGGGGCGCGGGCCAGAGGTCACGCTGGCCAGGACTTGCGCGGTCGCGGCGTTTCGTCGTTCTGTCTCTCTCTACAAGGCGCCCACAAGTGCGAGAGAGACAGCGGCGCACTGCCGCTCCGCCTACTTGCCTTTGATGGAGGCGGCGGGCTGCTCTTCGCCGTCCTCGCCCTTGGCGTCCTTGTCCTGCTGCGCGTGCAGGCGGCGCGCGGCGGCGCGGGGCAGCGTGCGCGGGAACAGGCCCAGCACCGAGGCGAACAGGAACAGCAGCACGGCCAGGATGATCCAGCCCAGCCACCAGGCGCCCAGCCAGCGGGGGTCCTTGTTGTCGATCGTGGGGCTCAGCGTGGGCGAGATGTACAGCTTGAGGCAGAAGGACGCCAGCGCGTAGCCGATGCATGGGCCCAGCATCCGCAGGAAGTACGAGAAGCCTGTGGATTGGAAGGTGGCGTCAGCTCTCGCGCGGTGCGATGGGGCCGCGGATGGGGCGGCCGACCCACCGCACCAGTGCACCTACTGATGAGCGCGGGGGTCTTGTCCTTCTTGATGTTGTCGTCCATGTAGGACACGCCGATGGTGTAGTACAGCGAGCCGCCGATGCCGGACACGAGCTGCGCCAGGAACAGGATGACGATGGGCGCCATGTTGCCCTCCTCGGAGTCGCACTTGATGCCCGGGGTGCCGTCCAGCGCGCACATCGCCTTGCGCTCCATCTTGTCTGCAAGGCGGGGAAAGATAGCAATTTAAATAGAAGTTAATGCAAGTGCATGAAGAACTGGGTGGCCCTTCAGGCCGCTATGTCTTGCCTCTCTCCTCGTGCGACGCGTTGCGGTCGTACACGGCGCCGTGCTCCACGGTGAGGGCGAGCGAGTCCTCGCCCGGCCCGTACATGAGGTGCGGCAGCGCGGTGAGCAGGCAGTACAGCACCACGGTGTAGATGCCGAAGGCGATCCAGCGCGGCCGGTGCCCCTTGCCCGCGTAGTAGCTGAGGAACACCGACACGAACAGCTGCGTGAAGTCATTGCCCACCGTGATGATTCCTGTGCGGCAGACGAGGGGCAACTCTAGCAATCATGGCGTGGCTCCGCTAGGGTCCGCTAGGGTTGCCAACGGCGCCCCGGCCGAAGACGACCGGCCGGGGGCCCCGCGGCCCGCGGACGACGCCGTGGTCGAGGACGTCCCCGAAGTGACCGATTAAGGCGTGACGCACCACGTCGAGTCCGCGTGCGCGACCGCGTCCACGTCGTGGTGAGACGGCGCGGCCCTCTAGCGCGTCTTGTTGGTGTAATCGGTCAGCTAGGACCCTGCCGAGCGATTCCGCACAGAGTGTGGTCGCTCCGTCTCCCTCGCACGCCGCGACGCCCGCGAGTGCGAGAGAGACAGAGCGACGAAACCTCTGCTGCCCTGGGCGGCTTTCGAGCGGCGGGCGAGCAAGAGTAGATACGCGACGGGCCGTCTGCAGCGGCACCCGTTCAAAGCGCCATTTCGCACAGCATCGACCGGGCATTCCTTCTAGCCGCCTGGAGGCCGCCACTGTTACTATGAGAAATTATCTAGCGCGAGAGCTCGTTGAGCCATCGAGGTCGCGCAGGGCTCAGGGCTCGGGGCTCGGGCAGGCCGGCGACGGTGCGGCGGTACGGTAGTGGGTGAATGCGCGGGGACATGGCGGTGATGTGTCCAGTCCACCTGACCGATAAGCTGACCAGAGAAAGCGGGCAGCACTATCTCCACTGCCACTTTGGACCCTGCCTGCCCTGTCTGCGCCCTGCCGCGGCCGCACCGGTCGAGACGAGACGAAGCCTGTTGATTGACTCATAAAAACATTCGTTTATTTTAAATTTGAAACCGCTTGCCATCCGCCGGACACTTACCGATGGTCTTGCTGGGTATCTTGAACCTCTTTTCTAGGGTGGTGATGATGCCGTTTGAGTAGGCGTAGCTGGCGGAGAAGATGCAGCCCAGCAGGCCGTAGATCAAGACGTAGACGTTCTTGGTGGCAAACCTGCGCAAGGCTCATGGAGTGAAGGGAAGGGAAAGACTCGTACAGTGGTGGCACTGCCTGCCCACCAGGCGCTCCGCCTCCAGACCGTGAAGACCACAAAGTACGCGGCGTGCCTCACTCACCTCTGCAGCCAGGGTCCGCGTATGAAGGAGATGCCGCAGGTGGTGTCCTCCGTGAGGGGCAGGTCGCGGTACAGGTCCTCCAGGTCGACGGGGGTCTTGGGGGACTGGGGGCTCTTGCCCCCCTTGGCGACGCCATCCTCGGTCACTGGCGGCGGCACCAGCAGCGGCGACAACACTTTACTGTCCTTCTCGTGGGCGGGCACGTTGGTGGCGGGCATGATGGCGGTGAGGGGCTTAGCCCGTCATAGCGCACTCAGGCACTCGGGCGCGCTGCACCAGGTCGCGTCGTCCTGGCCGTCGTCCTGGAGGGCTGCAGTCGAAGTCGCCGGCGCGCGGGTGTCCGTGCTGGGACCGTCGGCGTGGGTCGCTGTTTGGCGAGGCTGTCCGCCGAGCACAGCGAGCACGGCGCGGGCCCAGGCCCCAGGCGAGGCGCCCAGCGCGGCGGGCACGGCGCGGCACAGCGCGGCACAGCAGGGCGTGCGGAGCGGTGCGGACCCAGATAACACCCAGCATGCTTTCTTCTATTTGCGCCCCATCCCTCTCGCCTGGCAGACAGAACATCGCCACCAATCAGCATCGGGCCCGATGACGGAACGATGACGGAACGATGACGGAACGCCACCGCACGTCACACACGCACCCCGGGCCCACAACGGGGTGAACCGGGGGCGGCCGGGGGAAGAGGGAGTGGCTATGCACATGGGAATGGGCTTCAAGTCTCGACAGATAACGAGCAAGTATTTGTTTGCCGAAAATAAAAGTAGCTTCTGCCTGGTGAGCGTAATCTCATTACATGGAAGTCTGTAGCCGTCGCGTGGTGGAGCTGCGGCTATCAGGGACTCGGGTTCAACACCACCCTCCGGCACGCATTTTGTTCCGGCAAAAAAAAATTCTTACCACGTTACCAATCCTTTCGAGTGCATGGCAGCCTACACTGTTCGCGGCGGCGACAAGGAACAAGGGCGGGACGGTAGGCGTGCACGCGTAATCTGTGTTTAAATAGTGACTGCGGCGATTTCGTAACGCGTTCGACGCGCCGGGCCGTGCCGAGCCGAGCCGAGCCGAGCCGCCGCGACGCGGGGGACACGAGTGCGACGGCCACCACGGCCTCGACGCCGACGTAACAGAAATAAAAATGGCGATTTTGCGACGCCGTCCTCGTCGACGTCCACGTGCAGAGTGGAGGCCGGAGGGCGTCCAGCTCGACAAGGGGTTGCGCCTCGCGCCTCGCGTCGGGCAGAATAAAAAACAATGAACTGGAACAAAAGGGAGCGCCGGCTTTTCCAGTGCCACGGCACGGCCACGGTCAGAGCCGCCACCAGCAAGACGAGCTTCTTCTTCTGGCCGCGCGGCCGTAAAGTGCGGCTCCATTGTGCAGCTAATCCCCGGGCCAATTGCGGGAGGGGGGTGGGGAGGGGGGGAGCGGGGGCCACGCGAACGGGGCAACGGGGCGCGCGCACTAGTAGCGCTAGTAGCGCACGCCGTCCGTCCGACGGGCCGCGCCGGCCGCGGTGAGGGAGAATGACTGCCTTCTGGACGCGCGTCCACGCGTTGCAGCAGACCGTCGATCTCTCTCGCACTCATGGGGACGTCCCGCAGGACAGCGAGAGAGAGGCAGGGCGACGAAGTGGACTGCAGCATTGGAAACGGGAGGGAGAGGGGAAGACGCTTTATCTGACCCGCCACTCTTTATGAGGTGAAGAACACACCGACACACTGACACACTACTCACACACATGGCAGCGAGCACTGCCGCCGTCGTCCTAAGCCCGTGTGCAAATCCTTCAACGCCGTTGGGTCCATTATCAAGACCGACAGAAGGCAGCAGTTTTTGAGGAGAGCTAGCTCAACCTCACGCCGAGTCGTAAGGCACCTGCCTCTCGCCTCGCGCACCTCCCCGCGCCCAGAGCCCCCGCCAGGAACTCGCTGGCTACCCACCTTAGGGTTCGCGAGCGCGCAGTGACCGCGTGTTGTCTCCGGCCGGCCGGGCAGCAGTGCGGAGCGCGGCACGGTTCAAAAATAAATTCAATTTCCAGATATATTTTGAGACGCGACTTTTCGGGAAGTTGTCGCGGTGGTTGCCGAACGCGCCGCCAGGAGTCGCTGCTGCTGCGAGTCCTTATCAAGCCCGGCTAGGATCCACTCGGCGTGGCGCGCCAGTCGACGTCAAATAAGAAACAATCTTTGGCACACAAGCAGGCGCCCCTCCCCCTCCCCTTCCCGTTTCGGTATCCCTTATTCCGGCCTGCACTGGCTGCCGCAGGCTGTCGTTGGTTTTCTGGAAAGCCTTCCGAAAACATACCACGGTCTCGGTCTCTGGTCTCTGGACCAGCGGCAGCAAGCCAGCGGGCCAAAGTCATTGTCACTGTCCGAGGTTAGGTGCGAGCGGAGCCAGGAAGCCGCGGCACCCCGCGGCGTGTCTGAGCCTCAGCTTGCCGCGGCTTGCCGGCGGGCTGGCGTGCATTGGGTTGCATCAACGTGCGCGGCACACAGTGGGCCTTGCGGCGGATTAGGCGGGGGTGTCTAGGCCGCGAGGCTCGGCGTCGTGGCCTTGGCAGCCTCGGCGGAGGCAGTGCGGCGGCAGGGCACAGCCTGCTAAAACGTGCTCTAGTGAACCAGTCGACGGGTTCGCCGGATACCGGTGTACTCACCCACGCGGACATTATGTAATCCCACGAGGGGTGCCGGGAGTGCGGGTCGACGGCGACGGCTAGAGTCCGGCCAGCCCTCGGGGCAGCCCTTGGGGCAGCGCGGACGCGCGGCGTGGCGGCGTGGCGGTCGCTGCGGCAGCGCCACAGCATGGGGGTCGCGGACAGGGAGCTACTCGTCGTCCAGCAGCAGGGCCAGGATGTCGTGCGCGGCGACGCGGCGACGCGGCGACCACTACGGGCTGCGCGCTGCGCGGCTCGCGGCCTTCCTGGACCTCCACCGCGACACGCCACTTTGGCCGGGCAGGGGAAGGGGGTCCAGATTATCTCATCTCTGGCCACGGCCGCGGACCTCTCGGCGAGGACCGAGGGCCGGCGAGGTCCTTGTATGTGCCGTGCTCGGCCGTGCTCGGGGCAGCCTCACTTTCCATTCGAACCCCGCGCCGCGGAGACGGCGGTCCGAACCGTGTTTGCGAAAACAAACTGATTCGCTGGAACGGGCCTGCAGGGTGTGGCCGTGACGCACCCGGTGCGCATCAAGACTGATAAGAATGAAAAGACAGTACGCAAACAATTCGCAATAATCAGCTTTCTCATCCATGATATGTTTTTGAGAGTTTCGTGGCGCTCTTCACCTCTCTTCGTTTCTCTCTTGCAAAAGCGGAGAAAAAACATGCGAGAAAATCAACCCGTTCATCTTACTTTGCCCTTAGCCCCGGATTCCCTGCCCGGCCTTCGAGGGGTCTTTCGCGGCCCCGGCCGCCTTTACCTGCGTCTCTGTAATTTTTCATTAGACGTGCTCGGATCAACTCCCAGCGAGGCGGAACTGTCCGCCGACGCGCCACGCCGTGCCCCACGCCTGCCATGGCAGCCTCGCGACGGTGAGAAAGGGAGAAAGAAATAAGAAGGCTGCCTCTCGGAGTTCCGGAAACCACCTTCGGGACATTGGACAACGCCGGCGAGACGGCTCTGAATTATCTTCCTGCCAAAGAAAAAAAATAAAATCTCTTTTTCTTCTTCGGCCCAAGACTATATCTACTGCACTTGCCGCCGCACCCTCCACAAATTTTCTCGATGAACCTTTTGGTATGAGAGCCGCGGCCGAGCCGCACGCCGAACGGCGGGGGTGGGGGGTGGAGGAGGGGGGCTGCCCAGGGGCCGCCCCCGACACCCCGTTTCTTCATCTTCCCCATCATACTTTTTAAGCCCCAGAAGCTTAAACCGTCTCCTCCTCGTAATTTTTATGCATATAAAGAAGGCGAAGGTCGGAGGCGGGGCGGGGCGGGGCGGCCCTTCGGAAGCGCGTGAGTTCGGGATTGAGCCAGAGGAGGAGAGGAGGAGAGGGAGAGAGAGGGAGAGAGGGGGAGCAGAAGGCTGCCGGGGGTTAAATTCCCTTCGATAGCGGCATTTTTACATCAATGCCACAACGCCCCCCCCCCCGGTCTTTTCCAGGTCGCTCCTCGGTCTTCATTTGACATCCCCCTTCCCCGCCGCACCCTCCGTGCCGGCGTCGCGACGCGCTCCTCCCACGTTACAAGCACTAAGAAAAAGTGTAAAATTATCAAAGAAGGTATTAAAATGTAATTGGAATGGTATAAAAAAATTAGCGGGCCCGGAGCGAGAGAGAGATATATACATTCGAGGCGGTAATGTTAAGCCCTTTTTAACGATGTTCGTGCTAGTTTTATAATGCCCGTGCTTTGGGAGTGTGACCGCCTGGCGGCCTGGCCGCGCCGATGACGGGGAATCGGAGGCGACACGGCACGGCACGGCACGGCTCGGCACGGCCAGGGCACGGCCCGCCCCGTGGAGGGGATGCTCCGCCTTCTAAATAGCGGGTTTAAAAAGGAGAAAAAGGGAAAAAAGGGGGTGGGGCAAGAAAAATGGAGAGCACGGTGAAATGACGGAGCGGTGGGGAGGAGCCCGCGTGACGCGCGTCTATCGAGCTTCGAGCGGCGGAGGGTTATTATCGCGGGGGGACCTTTTGCCGAGGTGATTTGCGCTCCTTAGTGCCCGCGCGTGTCTGTGTGTGTGTCTGTGTGTGCGCGTAGCCGGCAGCGGTTCCTCCAGCACGGCAGCGACTTTGAGTTCGTTTCTGAGGTGGTTCCGACTGGACGAGTCGTGAACCCCGTCGCTTCGGCGGATACTGTCCCGCTGGGCACCGCTGCGGCCGGGCCTGCCTGCTCGCCAGGCGCCTCGCCGCACCGCTGGGAAAAGAGAGAGAGAGACAGAGGCACGCCTTACGTCCTCCGGGACGGCGTATGGGGAAGGCGACTGCAGACGTTCGCCGCTAGGGGCGCCACTGGGATATACGCCACTAGCAGCCAGGCGGCAGCCGGCACGGATGCTGTTTTTGACTTATAGCTCTCACTGCAATTATCGCACATGTATGGAAACTAGCTTATTGGGAAGCTAGCAGCGTTGCCTACAATCGGCTCGCTTACACTACGGGTCTATCTTGCATGACAAAGAAGTTATGGGCGAAATTGGCAGACTCCTAGGGGCTCCCCTGGCTAAATCGTGGCGCGTATCCCGGTGCTGCCCTCTACCCTGAGCTTGCCGTGTCGCCTTCCTCATAACCGTAGCTGCAGCCCGGGCGGCGGTTGTCTCTGCGAGGATGTATGCGGGATGGTGGTACAGGCTGAGCCCCGGCCCAGGCCAGGCACAGGCCAGGGCGTGCGACCCGCGATGCCGAACAGCGCCTCGTCGCTCTGTCTCTCTCGCACCTTCACGGAACGCCCC